TGATTTCTAGAAGTAGGTCTTTCAAACTGAACTAATTAATTAAATTCATTTATGAACATATTGTCCTAGATACTATACAAATAGTGCAATTATCTAAATAGAATTTGGAGGATCTTTTACGTCAACAAGATGATTTCAGGGTTGTCATGGAGCAAAAGGAAAGGCAGTCAGCTAAGTACTTAGTGCTGAAAACACGACTGATCAAGATATTTTTCGAAGTTGTTTTTTTTTTTAGCTTTACATAAGAACTTATTTGTATGCATATGATTTGGACATATCTTCTCTGGAGCCCTTGAATTGACAGTAAGCGTAACTGCCAATACATTGCATCCTTGCTATTGTCCCAGAAAAGAATTCAGCATAAGTCATGTCAACCCATCCCGCCTCACGTGAAGCAACTAGAGCAGGGAAGCATCTTGTCAATAGGCCTCTAGGAACAGCACCATACAAAAGGTCCAGAGAGCTCAGGCAGGGTTTTTCTTAAAGATTTATTTATTTATTTATGATAGACATGGGGGTGGGGGTGGGGAGAGAGAGAGAGAGAATGGCAGAGACAGAAGCAGGCTCCATGCAGGGAGCACGATGCGGGACTCCAGGATCACGCCCTGGGCCATTACCTCAGGCGGTAAACCGCTGAGCCACCCAGGGAACCCTTCAGGCAGCGTTTTTCAAACTGCAGGTTGCAAACTAAATTGTGGAATCCATTTAGTAGGTTATGACCAGCATTTTTTAAAATAAGGATTAAGCAGAACAGAAAACATCAGGCTGTATCATCACTGCAGTGAGTTTGTTTCATACTGGTGTCTCCTGTGGGTGTCTGTGTGTAGGTCATGATTTTGTAAAATATATTTCTAGTTACAGGTTTGGGGTCTGAGAGCTTGGAAGCTACTGTTCTGAGTCCTAACTGGGTGTGATTTTCTAGTACTAAGCTCTATTTTCAATAAACTACAGTTCTGGATTCTTCATACCCAGCCAGGAGAGTCAGTTGTCACAAATGGATCATAAAAGGAACCTTAAGTTTTATCCAGTCCAACCCACCATATGGAGGCTTCCTGTAAGATTCCCTACACAGAGCCTCTAAGTTCTCAAGAACGCCTGTTTGTTCCTCTGTACAGGACTTCTAACTTTTAGAAAGTTCCTCATTATGCCAAATTGAAATAGAACATAAGCTTGCTCTTTCACAAGACAGATTTTCATATGTGTGAATGTGGTTCCACGTAACCTTTTCTGAATAAACACAGGTTCGCTGTAGAAAATTTGGAAAATACTAAAAAGCATAAATGAGAAAATAAAAATGATTCATAATCCAACCACCCAGAACTAACAACTGAAATAATGGGCTATATACACCTCCTAAACCTACTTTCTCCCTAATTGTAACAAATATTTTCCTCTTCCCTATATTCTTCTACAAAATGATTATAATGGCAACATCACATCCTACATATAGCTATACCATAACTTTTTTCCATAACTTATTTTTATAATCCCATTGGGTGGCTGTATTATTTTCAGATTTTATTATAAAGGCATTAATAGGAACATCCTTCTAAATCGATCACTTCCTTGTGATAAGTCTTAGAGTTACTAAATTAAAGATGGGCAAAATTTAAAGGCTCTGACAGATACTGTCAAACTGTCCCCTCAAAAGTTGTGCCAACTTACTTTCTCAATGGCGACACAAAAAGTGTGCTTACCCTTAACCTCACCCAGAATAGACATTAATATACTTTCCATCTTTGCCAGTTTGGTTCCCCCTAAATCTAATCTATTTTAATTTACAGAGGTAGTGAAAGGTAACTGTTTTTTAACATCTATTTTGGCCATTTTTCTCTCATTTGTGAATAACCTGACCATGTCCTTTGTCAAATTCTCTTTTGAGGCTTGAAAATAACTGATGTTGCTCCTTAAATATCTGAAGAAGGTTCTTATTCCTGTTTACTTCAAGACTAGGTGCCAGACTTCCTTTAAAAAGCTAAAGGATCATATTAGCTAATGGACTAAAGTCTGAAATGTTTTTTGCTTTCCCATAAAGATCACTTTACTGAGGAATACAGCAAATGGAAGTCATATGAACTCTGTCAACATAGATGGAAAATGATAATTCTCATACAACTAAAAAGCACAAGTTTCCATTATACTGAGAACATCATAATAGCGGTAAAATCCTCCCACCACAGAATGGTCAATGATCGTCACTACTCCCTTCTTTGGACTACAAACAAAATGCTGCCCAGCTGCACTGAACCCAGGACATTTTATGTCCTATCAAAACACAAACCTTATGCCATCATGAACCCCTGGGAAGGGAGCCAGGGCTTCAGCTAAGACAAAGGGAATTTGGCTTTTCACTTCCGTTTAGAACCCTAATAAAAAAGCAACAGCAATGGCTTAAGGAGCCTCAGGACCCACTGCTCAAGGAGGAAACCCAAGTATTTTTTTTTTTTTTTGAAAGTTCTCACCTGCGGTCATTGTGCCTCTGAAATGCTCCATTCACAGCTCATAAAATGAGGGGTAGTTATCCTTATTTTCTCCCTTTCCCATCTGTCCTTCCCTCTGCCCCCCCCCCCACATCCAATCCAGATACCTCCTGAATCTGTCCATTCCTGCCACAGTGTTTCATTTCAGGCCCTTACCACCTTGTGAGGACTATTGCAACAGCTTCCCAGCCATCCTTCTGACCCCCTATATGGACTACCTTAAATTTATCCTCCATACCAACTCTAGACATGTACCTCTAAGATAAAAATTTAACTTTTCAATGGCTTTCCATTGTTAGAAAATCAAGTTTCGAAATTCATTATTAGCATAGCACAAGCTGCCCTTTGGATCTAGAGATACCTACAGCTCTCCTAACATTTGGATCCTTAGGGAAAAAATCCTGTGCCTGCTCTTACTGCCATGCTTAGGCCTACACTGTTCCCTCTTCTGCGAAACCTTCACTGTCTCCCGTCATTCTAATTTTGCGACCCTGAGAACTCGGCTGAAAGAGGACCTCCTCTTGGAAGCGTTGGCTGATCCAATTCTGCCATCCCAGGCTGGATTTGGTGTCCTTCCTTGGTATCCTGATGATATTCCAGAAAAGTTACTAAGTGGGTTTGCCTATTTGACATTGAACCTAGCCCTGTGTGCTATGGGGCTTCCAGCTGCCCCAATCACATGGTGGTGTAATGAACTCTCTTGTCTATCTCTCTCAGTAAAAGAGCTCCTTGAAGTGTACTCATCATCTTGCTATGTACATCTAACAACTAGCACAGTGTCTGGCATATAGGGGATGCTCGATCAATGCTGGTTGGATGACTGAACTCAACAGAAGCTATATGTTAAAAAAAAATCGCCTTATCACTATGATCTTTGACAAACCAGATAATTCAAAGGGTAATTATTAGTATAACACAGGCTCTTCATTTTACAAAAGGATTGCATCTTGGATTTATAAAATGTCAATTTCCTGACCTTGAAATAATATTTGCCATACATTTAATTTTGTCAACACGTACCTTTTGTATATGGTAAGATCCATTTATATAGGCATGAGTCCTCATATTTTTGGTATTTTTTAAATACAGGATGCCAAACACAGCTTCAGATGCTGCTTTTTACACAGCAAGCACTCAATAAATACCTGGTAACTTTTTAAGAGTCAAATCTTGGGTTTGCTGCTTTGCTCACAATTAGCTGCCTTCTGGGAATGTAGCCTCCATATACTTGAGGAGGAGGCCCAATGGTTAATGTGTATGTGACCCCATCTCTGGCCTGAGTAGATTAGTTTAAGAGTGAGCACCTGACCTAATCAATACCTTTCCCTGAAAATTTTTTTTTTTTGAATTTTAGGATTAAGGAACATGTAAATTAATCCCTTTCTGGTGGTGGGAGCTGCCAGATGTAAAACCAGATATAAAACTTGAGAGATATTGGTAGCCATATTTGCTGCCATGGGTAGAAACTTGTATATAATCCACCTAAATCAAAGAGAAAGAGCCATCATGGAGAAAGAAAAACAATGAGAATCCAGTTGATGACAGAAAATACTGGAGATGATGAGTGTTTGCATTATGTTCAGTAACTGGTCTCCAATCTGAGGCTGTGCTGCAACTGTGCCCTCCCCAGAGTTTGGTGGTGTGAGATATTCCACTCCTTTCTTGTAGATTCCCATAAGCTGGCCCAGGTTAGACTCCTGTCACTTGCCAGCAAGAGAATCCTGATGGTATGGATCTATAAAGGAAAACTGACTCCTCTGGACCCTTTCCCCAACAACTCTTTCAACTGATTCAACCAGGTGGTTTGGCATAACAAAGGCATGGGCATGAGGTTCCTATTCAGGGACGGAAGGAAGGTATTCATTTTGAAATACATTTCAAGCAAAAGTTGCAGGTAACATGTGCCGATGCAAATCTACAAATTGGAAGCATGCTTCAGTCACCGTGTCCTGTGTGCAAACTGTGTCCTCTGCCCACAAATGAACTGTGGGGTGGGAATCTTTATGGGGGTGACCAAGGCCCAGAAACCGCTAAGGCTTCCTTTTCTCAGGGTTCTCCTTCTGGCTCCCTCAATGCCAGTGGCATGCGAGAATTTTCTCATTTAGAAGTGAACCTTCCTAATGAGTTAAGCAAAAACGATGGCAACATGACATAGCTTCAGCCAGAGTTCGAATGCATACAAGTCTAGACACAGAGGCTCCCTGCTGACACCAGTCTTTAAGACCGTCTCTGGAGCTGCCCGCAGGGGCACTGCGTGTGGTGTAGCCCACTCCAGGGGCTGCTCCTCTAGGCCACAGCGCCAAGCCACGACGGAGGCACTGAGGTGCACAGGCTGGCTGCCTTCTAAGGATCCAATGGCTGAAGAGGGCTGTTGTCCACCTGCCTAGGTGTTCTGGGGGGGGGGGCAGAAGGAAGCTGCTATATAGACTCCTGGTGCCCTGGCCATAGCCTTCCTTGCCGTGACAGCACTGCCTCCAATGGGGCACAGCCGTTAAAGACCCACGGGGCTCCAGGGATGGCTTAAACCTTGGTGCTCTGACTGCCCCGAGCTCGCCGTCTTCCTTTCCAGTCGGCCTGCTCCTCAGCAGACACCTGAGTCTGGGGCGTGGCGACAGAGCTCTTGTCCTTTGCTGTTCCCCCATGTTTCCAGTCGTGTTTGTCTTTGGCAGGCTGCCTGGAAGCACTGTCCCTTCGGACAGAGCTCTCTGTGGTCTGGCGGGTCCCTCTATGGGCTGGTGTCTGTCTGACAGGCGGCTGGGTGGAGGCCTGCTCTGGGGAGTCCGAAGCAGTCTGCCTCTTCTGAAACCTTCCCCTTCTATGAGCCTCTTCTTTCCTGCTCGGATGCTCCCTGGGAGCAGAATCGTCTGGTTTTGACTCTGCAGAGGACACCTCACTCTGGAGAGGTCTCCTGGGCGGGCGCTGACCCTCCTGAGTTGGTTGGTCACCACTGAGGGTAGCTTTATTTTCCTGAGGCACTCCTCCAGAATGCTCTCTCTTCAAGGGTGGTCCTTTTTTCTCCTGTTTCTCTACTTGTAATAGGGGATCCTCAGGCAATGGTTCGGCCTGGGGGAGTTCAAAGATTTCTGGCATTTGGACTTTTCTTCTCTGGCTCCCCTGAGAGCTCCGAGGCAGGCTGGGGTGAGGGTGGTCGGGTACCTTTGGGGCAGTCAGCTTCCTCTGGGATTCTGGCTGCGAGGCTGTCTGACGGCCTCCAGGCAGTGCCTTTTTCAGATGCCCTGGCCTTTCAGTGGTCTTTCTGTGAAGAGGGAGTTTTTTTTCCCTAGCTCCTGTCTGCTGCGCTGGCTCCCGGTTTTGGGGTAAAGCCTGCACATCTGAAATCTTCTTGCTGGAGGAGTGGCCTGCTTTGGGCGCTTGCCTTTCCTTTGTGGGCCTCGAATAATGGTTAGCCCTGGGGTTCTGGGGCAGCTGCTGTTCTGAGAAGGGGGTGGGAATCTGTGGAAGCCTAACCACCTGAGCCTCCTCTTCCCAGGGCAGATCAGGGGCAGTCTGTGGCGTGTGCTCCTGGACAGGGGTGCTGATAAGAGGGAGTTTCACCTCCCTGACCTTTCCTTCCTGGACTTGTTGAGTGCTGTGGTCCAGATGGGGGCTCTGATTTTGTGGTGGTTTGGACTGGGGAGGGCTGATGGGAGGAAATTTACTGGAGTCTCCTTCCTGAGCTGGTGGAGGCCTGGGGGAGGGAGTCATGGTTTTATCTGAGGCTGTTCCTAAAGCTTCCTCCCTGCTGGGTGAGAGGAGTTTGGGTGTGGGCCTCCGACTCTGGAGTGGAGCAAGGACCTGCGGCTGAGGCAACCTGGTGGGAGCCAGCCAGCTTCTGGGAAGCAAGGTCATTGGGTTGTCCCTGTGCTGGGTCTGTTTGAGGTCTGCTGAATCCTGAGGATGTGGCAATTCTGGGTAAGGAGTGCTAACCCGGACATATTCTGCTTTTGGGGTTCCCTCCGCTAGAGGTTGTTGAGAATCTTCTGGAGATGGTCCTGCTGTTTTGGCCCCATTCGGGTGGGAAGGGTCTCTTGGAGGCTCATAACGGGTACTGTTGGGTGGCAGAGCTACTGATTCAGTTTCCTTATCCTGGGTTCTCCGGGGGCTGGGGGAGGTTGGGCCAGGCCCCTGTAGGGCTTCAGATGGCAGAGGGTCAGTGGAGGTTACCTTGGCTTCCCCTGATTCCTCATCTTGGTCCGGCTGAGGGCTGTGAGCTGGAGGTGGGTCAGGGTGCTGAGAAGGCTCTTGGGAAGGAGTGATGGAAGGCTGCACTATCTTACCTGCTTTTGCCTCAGATGTCATGGACTCATTTTCGGGGACATTTGTCGTTATTATTTTTGAAGAAAGATCTGATTGTTGAACATCCTCTTCCTTCTGGTTTGGGGATAAGTCCTGAGCCTGCTGGGAAACACCAAGTGCTGATGAGCTGGGCTGTGGAGGAGGCTCAGCACTGACATGGCTACTGGGAGAACATTCTTCTTGATGGGTTGCTCCCTGAGTCAGCTCTTGGTTCTGGAAGGGGGCTAGGTTCTGGTTTTCAGGGACCTGTGTTTGAATCTGCATTCCAGAGAGACGTTCTGTTATCTGGCCATCTGCTTGCAGTTTTGCCAAGCGCCTTGGGGATGGGACCAGGTGTGCTGGCACCCCGGAGGTGGTCTTCTTGCTAGAAGGAGCTCCTGCTTTAATATAAAAAGAAGTTAGCTAAAAACATCTTAACACACACTATGTAACTAAGGAACTTTAGAAATGACAAAAAAATACCTTTTCCTTTTCTGATGCACATAGGCCCTTGAAAAGAATAAAATTACACAGAGAGAAGAACTATAACCATCTCTTCCCCTTGGGGATCCTAGGTGTCTAGAATTCTCTTATTTCATAGAACTTAGAACAATTTTAGCCAACTGAAATCATGAGCTTCGGTAAATAAAAATAGATAGGCTTATTCACAGAACCAAAATTGTATGTCCAGGTCTGCGAGTGGCAAGAATTTTTAAGCAAATGAGATTTAAAATTTCCACAGCTTAGAAGTCAGTGCTGCTTTTGATGGTAGAAACTAGAGGGTATACATCTAAGCTAGGGCAAGTCCCATTTGTTTCCTTGTTTAATAGCAGTCCTCTTCAAGAAACTGGAACCAGAAAGGTACAGGAAACTCAACAGGCAGTAAGTCAGTACTGAATGGAAGGAGGCAAAGAATGGATCCCACAGAAGCATGCAGTGCCATGGCTTAGAGGAGCCGCTCCTGAGGATCTGCCCTCCCAGCTGCTGCCCTACCCCCAGGGCCAGTCTTTTCCCTCCAAGTCTACCTGGGTTTCAGCAATGGCTCTCAGAGGCCACTAGCATATTAATGTCGTGGGGCGGGGAAGGGGACGTTTCCTTCGATCACCATGGGAGCAAGTTCTCAGTGTGATTCTGGTCTCATGGACCAACCATGGTCACAATCAGCTCAGCAGGCAAGTGTTTATGACAGAAGCCCATATATATATTCTGGTGGTCCATATAACATCTTAACCCAGTCTTCAGGACATGGCTCTGAAATGCTGTGGTCAGAGAGGGCACAGCAGTGTGGAACAGCCTTGAAGAAAATAGTCTCAGCTCACTTTGAGGTGACCTGATGCTCAGAGACTGTAAGCTGAGTCAGACCTCTCAGATGACCCCAGGGTGGTCCAACCCCAGAAGCAAACCAGGCTCCTGACCACTGTCCCTTCTCCCTCACAAAGCAGGATGAGCACGGACTACTCTGTGTCTTCACTGAACCTCCTGGTCTGGGCCTCCAGTTAAACCAGATGTCTCTGGGGATGGTGTTGGGGAAAAGCAGAGACAAGGAAAAGCTGGCCTCTTGGTGAGGTTTCTGAGGGTATGGCTCTGCTTATCATTCCTATAGCCCTAGTTCATGACCGCTGTAGATTAAATACGAATTTAGTCAAGCAACAAGTTTAAATTAAAATATAATAACAGTAAAAATGAAAAATTAAAATTAAAATTAAAAAAAAAAGAACAGTAAAGATGTCTAGAATAGGCCAATTCAAAGAGACAGAAAGTGGATGAGTAGTTACTGGGGACTAAAGAGGAGTTACTGCCTAATGGGAATCGAGTTTCAGTGAGGCAGGGCTGATAACTTTTGGAAACAGGTAGTAGTGATGGTTACACAACATTGTGAATGTAGCGAATGCCATTACATTGTACACTTAAAATAGCTAAGATGGCTAATTCTGTGTGTGGTTTTTTTTAATCACAAAAAAGGGAATTTAAAAAACAGAAGGGCATAAGAACAGTGAGACCCAATCCTGAAGGCTCTTCCTAGTTGTTGAACCCCCTGGTTTCCTAGGATCAGACATACAAGGATGTTTTCCCCACTTTTACAATTCAACAATTCACATCATTTGGCAAATGATATACTGCCCTTTATTAGAGATAAAGGCACCGTTTGGGGACCAGTAAATTGCTCAGTTTCCCTCTCCTCCACCCCCCCCATTTGACTCATCACCATCATCATTTTCCTTTCCCATCAGTCAGAATTCTAAATAATGATTCACAAATATAATTTTGTTCTATGATCTCTATAGCAGGGACTCAGGGTGGTAGTTGGATCAGCTTTTTAAAAGCTTATTGGGAGCACCAAATAAGTATTCTGGAAATAGGTTGTACACAGACACATGGAGGATAAAAACCATCCCTTACACTGAGTTGTGAATAGAGTGAGTTTTTTCTTATTTTACAAAAGCTGTATTGTTTACTCAGGGTTTTTTGGGGTTTGTTTTTTTGTTTGTTTTAGTTTTCAGGCTTTAGAAATGAATATTATCTGCATTGCTATAGGGAAAAAATAATAAGATCATCTGTACCATGGTTGATAAACATTTTTAATTAATGGTACATCTTAGTACCTCAAGGTTTTATAATCACTCTGTAACTCAAGTTACTATTTTGTATGTGCATTTAACGTAAAGTCACTTAGTCTCTCCTCTGGTAAAGGTTCCCATTTCTGGGTCTAGGCTGATGGGGTTGCTACACTTATAACCTATAGATTTCAAGGTTACTTTGTTCTACTTTCATCATTAAGAGTAGAAATTGGGATCCTGGGTGGCGCAGCGGTTTGGCGCCTGCCTTTGGCCCAGGGCGCAATCCTGGAGACCCAGGATCGAATCCCACGTCAGGCTCCCGGTGCATGGAGCCTGCTTCTCCCTCTGCCTGTGTCTCTGCCTCTCTCTCTCTCTGTATGACTATCATAAATTAAAAAAAAAAAAAGAGTAGAAATTAAAATTGCATTCTTAGTTACAAATTGGCAACATAAAATTACTAAAGATAAAGCTATGTATTATCACTTCAAATATCTAGGAATACTTTTCAGTTGGCATTGATACAGGATTCCTGCTTGCATTAAAACAATGCCACTGGCCACCAGATTTCTGTTTATACTGGAGCCTACCTTATAGGCAGTCTAATTAACTGGGGGAAAAAAACCTCAGCAAATTCTAATTCCAGAATGGTCCATAATATTATATGTAGTTGGCTTTGCTTTTTAGAAATGGAAGTTCAAAGTGGTTTCTCTAATCAAATCAATGATTATTGGTAAAAGTTAGGATACAAGACTAAGTCTTCCTAATTCCGGTCCAATTTTCTAATTGCTTACACTGCCTTTCATAGAATCTTATAAATTTTTAATTTCTTACCTTTGATAGTTCAGTTATATATTAAAAATATTCCACTATGCTAAAATTATTGATCTAGGGGTCCCATTTATATTTATGTAAGTAATGGAAGTCTTCACGTAAACAGATCTGAACTACAGTACTTTTTTTTTTTTTTATGATAGTCACAGAGAGAGAGGGAGGCAGAGACACAGGCAGAGGGAGAAGCAGGCTCCATGCACCGGGAGCCTGACGTGGGATTAGATCCCGGGTCTCCAGGATCGCGCCCTGGGCCAAAGGCAGGCGCCAAACCGCTGCGCCACCCAGGGATCCCCTGAACTACAGTACTTAAAATCAGAGTGGAAGCAAAAATATAAGAGCCAGCCAGGCCTGGGGCAGTGACGACACTGGGGCTCTGGTCCCTTCTGGGGGAATCATGATGCTCATTTTGAGGTGACTATGGTTGGGCCCTGCTCTCCTGTGAACATCTGACCTGCCCTCCTTGGCATATACTTTACAGCCCTGAAACTCCAAGAGGCCACTGGCTCTACTCTTAAGCCACCAGAGATCCTTTAAAAGCTTTATTAGTAAGGACTATGCCCATTAGAATTTTTAAATACTCACTTGAATAATGTCTGGCCTCCACAAAGCCACTTTACATGCAAGTTTATCCTTAAACAATCAACCAAAAACAGTAACATCGTCCTTCATGGATTAACTATTTAAATAAAATGAGGTGTTTGGCTTCTTAAGAAAACACATTATCTCCCAAAACACTAAACCTGCCAGGAAAATGGGGGTCTATTGAGGCCAGTGAATTGATGTATTAATTATAAACCCTCCCATCTACTTCTTAAAGCTGAGGCTCATATTAACCAATAACTAGATGGCCCCATTTCAGTTATTAAACATATCTGAGAGGGATAACATTTTAACAAATTCTATAATTCATACTTTCCATGAAATCAGACAGGCCTAACCTAATTGGTCCAAATAAATGAAGTTTTTTACACCCTTTAAAACAGGAGTCTCTTTTCCTATGCACACATTATCTGGTCTATTAACCTGCTAAATGGCAACTACACCCAATAGTCAGCATCCTGGTGGTTGCAGGATACAGAGGGCTGGAGCCCTGCTGGCTGTACAGGCTGAGTCCTGCTCAAGTGCTGCAGCTCAGAGGTGCCCTCGGTGCTATGGACTGACAAACATGCTTCTCCCCAAGACTCAGAACTGCTCAGGCTCAGGGGACTGGCTGTGCTCATCGAAATCCACAAGGGGCTGATTTAAAAGCCAGAACATCAACTTATTAATTTACAACGGGAGATGGGCCTGGCTCAGGGAGCAAGCCAGGGTACTCTCACGTAGAAGACTGCCCCCAACGGGACAGGTCCACCCCGGGGACCAAATTAAAGATCAGAAGTTGCTGGGTTAGCGAAGCTGGAGAGCAAAGAGAGTCAGATTTCCTCAAGGGAAACTTCCATCTCTCTACCAAAGCCTTGTAGATACATGGTGCACCCTGCCGGGCACAGCTTTCTAAAGAGCTGATGCCTGATGCGGAGGATTGGAGCAGTGCTGGAGAAACACATGGGCACGCTCCTAACTGAATGTCCTCCTTCTGTAGACCAGGCACGGTCCTCCACTCCTCTACGAATGCCTATTTTGTACACAGGGCACACTTGTCCTCCGGGGACTCTCCAGCCAGCAAGTCACACCCTGGCCCCCTATCTCCTAGACAACATACAGAGGACAGCCTCGCTCTGTTATCTGTTGTTACAGGTTCATACTGACCTCCTTCCAGAATTCCAAGGGTACCTGACCTGAAAAAAAAAATGTGTAAAATTGCAAAAGATTGGACTCTAGCAAAATCATGGCCTGGCCTGCTTCCGCCTGGGGGAGATACAACCTGGCCAGCAAATTCCAATTCGGCCAAGTGTCACAAAGGCTAAAGCACAGGAGCACACAGCAAGCCAGGGTCTCACGTTAACATTTTACAATGTGTGATTCATGAATGCAGTTCAGCCCACTGGGAAGGACCTTCTCTCTCTTTATCAGGGTGGTAAAAACGCACCCTGTAACAAAGTTGCCCATCTTAACCACTTTAAAGTGTACCGCTCAGTAGTGTTACGTATATTCACAGTTGTGCAACCAATCCCGTGAACTCTTTCCATCTTGTAATTGTGAAACTATAGTTGTGAAGCAACAGCACCCTGTCCCTCTGCTTCCCCAGCCCCTGGCAACCATTCCATTTTTCTGTCTTTATGGATTTGACTACTCAAGGTACCTCCTAAAAGTGGCATCAGACTATATTTGTGTTTTTGTGACCAGCTTATTTCACTGTGCAGAATGTTCTCAAGGGTCATCCACACTGTAGGATGTTCAGAATCCCTTTCCTTTTTAGGACTGAAAAATATTCCATTGTATTTATAAAGCACATTTAGTTTATTCATTTGTCTGTCAATGAACATTTGGTAGCCTCTCAGCTACTGTGAACAATGCTGCACTCACTGGTGTGCAAGTTTCTGTGGAAGTCCCTGCTTTCAGTTCTTGTAGGTATATACCCTGATGAGGAATTGCTAGATCACACAGTAATTCTATTTTTAATTTTGGGAGGAACCATTAGATTATTTTCCACCAGCGCTATACCATTTTGCCTTCCCAATTTCTCCACATCCTTGCCAACGCTTCTTTTCTCTTGTTTTTTTCATAGCAGCCATCTCCATGGGCATGCAGTGGATTAGAGAGAAACTTCAATCCATCTCAAAACACTCATTTTCCAAATTTCTAAGTTAGGGTTTTAGAATTCCTAGGTTCCAAGGAGATGGCATAGACACTGCTCTATGGCCTGTGCTATTTGCTGCACATGCTCCATGAGGCATTAACTCTCCATTATTGGAGGGCATTGGCTCCACTCCATCTAGCAAGACAGTCATTTGAAGCTCAGAACAGTGAAGCAGCTTGTCCAAGGGAGCAGGAGGGCCACAGCCAGGCTCACATCCTCTGACTGCACTCTTCTACTATAACCTCTAGTAGTACAACATTTTGAGGACAGTAGCAACGCAAAGGAGAAAAAAAGCCTATTGGGTTGAAACAACACTAATACCAACCACCCAGCAGAACACCACCTCAGCTCCCCATCAGAGCCAGACTTCTGGAAGGCTGAGTTCTGAACTGGAAGGCTGACCCTTATTTACCATAAACCTTCAAGGAGGTACTGGCCATGTGTCCCTGAAGGACAGTCCTCTAAGTTCCACTATGGCCACCAAGACAAGGAGAGAGACAGATCCAGAGGGCTGATTTGCACAGCTTTTGTGGGAACAATCACACCAGGAAGTAGAGGGGTTAGTGAGTTAGAACCAGTGTGAGGCTGGGGGATGAGTAACCCAGATAGCAATTCACAGATTTGGTTTCCCGACATGAAAGGAATGGGGTAGTACCTGCAGTTGGCGCCAAATTCTTGGATGTTTCCTCAGATAATCCAAGGTATTCTCTGATGAGTTGACTCAGCTTTTGGTAGGCAACTTCCAGATCATCTACAATAGGTGAGAGAAGGTACTTTAAGGCAACAGAATCACATCCAAATATAGTCAATTTGCAACTATTGGTGGTAACAAGTTTTTAAGCCACATCTAATTTTGTGACTTTTGTGGTAGGTAGGCAGAATTCTAAGACCCTAGTGACACTTCACCCTCATATCACTGCCTCCCTTCAGTGTGGGCAGAACCTGTGAATGTGAGGGGCTACTACTCTATGATTATGTCAGGTTAAAGGGCAAAACGGATTTTTGAAATGTAATGAAGGCTACTCATCAGTTGAGTTTGGGCCAGTCAGAAGGGGGACCACCCAGGTGGGTCAACACTTAACCACATGAGCCCTATAAAGAGAGAGTTTTCTGGTAGCAGATGAGGAATGCAGAGACTTGGAGCACAAGGAGAATCTGATGTGCCGTCGGCGGCTTGAAGACAGAGGGGCCCCAGGAACAGGACCTGGGAGCCGTCTCAAGGATGGAGGGCAACCCCTGGCAGACAGCCAACAAAAGAAGCAGGAACCCCAGTTCTACAACCATAAGAAACTGCAGTCAGCCAACAGTTAAGAATGTACGTTAGACTAGATTTTTCCCCTAGTGACCTTATACTTCAAAAATAAAACTTTGCTGAAAGTTACTGACCTACATTGATGATTGCATCAAAATATCCTGGAAATTTCTGATTGATTTTAATATAAAGGTCCACTCTGGAGACAGCAAATTCAATCTCTACACGACTGAATAATCCTTTTCTCCGCAAATAGCCCTCATATTTTTCCTTGTCCATGGGTACCACCAGGATATATCGAGGTTCAAAATAGGAACATTTCAAACTTCTTACACCCTATTTGTTTAAAGAAAAGATAATAGATTGGAAACAGATACAATTTAGAAATCATGTTGCAGACATCTGACAACATAGGTGTAATAAGTAGTCTTGTATTAAAAGATTTATTTGTATAATAAGCTATTATTTCCCTCTAAATATCTCAAAGTTGGATCACTTCCCTTTGTCAAATATTATTATTGGAATTAAAAGAACTACCTGGATGTCATCTAACTAATCACTCTAATAAACATGACAGTTAAAAAAGAAAATTGCTAAGAGTGCCTGGGCAGCTCAATCAGTTAGGTGTCTGACTCTTGATTTGGTTCAGGTTATGATCTCAGGGTCATGAGATTAAGCCCTGTGTTGAGCTTCAAGCTGGGCTTGGGGCCTGCTTGAGATTCTCTTATCTCCCTCTGCCCCTCCCCCAATTCATGCTCTATAAAAATAAGTAAATAAATAAAATTTTACAAAATTGCTAGATACAAACAGGTACACTCATTGTAGTGTTTCATCTTTAGTACTGCAAAGTAACTTTTTTTTTTTCCAGATTTCATTTTTAAGTAATCTCTAAACCCAACATAGGACTTGAATTCACAACTCCTAAGATCAGGAGTCTTACACTTTACAGACTGAGAGAGCCAGGTGCCCCAACGAAAAGTAATTTCAAGTCTGCATTTCAAAGAGCACCCTTGGAAGCTCCAGGAGATAAAGATATTACTACAGATAAAAGGTTCTCCCTGTTGCCCCTTTGTCATCTCCCCGGGACCCTTCCTATTCCTAAACCAGCAACCTGGTTGGGCTGGTTCCTACTATATCTCCCATCTTCTACCCAGAACAAGGGACACCCAAGCTCCTGCTGCCAGGAGCTCACAGGGTTGAGTGGGTGGTCTGTGGATCGGAAGGGCTGAGCCCCGACCGACCTCGTTTCTCCAGCTACTGTAGGCTAGAACAAAGCCTGCGAACTCCCCGAGCACCAGTTTCCTCATGGGTGAAATGCAAGAGCCCTTCCAAATGAACTCTAAAGTTCCTTCCACCTTGATTCCATCATCAGGAGTTTAACTCAATGGTTAAAACCCATGTTTTAAACATTCGGGGTGCAGAGGGGAGAGGCTCTTCTAAAAAAAATAATTTCTAAAAGTGCCAATGACTAGAGCCATTTGGAAAAATGCTTTCGCTTGAGAGAATCAGGGACATAAAACCTGGTTTATAGGTTGGAAACAAGTAGAAGAAAGTTCTCTGAGAGGAGAAAGGAAGCAGGAGCCAGCACTCACAGAACCAGTGGACTGGAGAAAGGTAAGCATACGGAGCTGGAGAGTTTCTTGTCTGAGGAAGATAGTTTTGGGAAAAGGCCTTGGTTATTTTTGTTTGTTTTTTGCTTATTAGCATAGAAACACAGACAATCTCTTTGAATATGTAAAAGCAATCAATTGTGGAAAGATGAGAGCTGCAGGATTTTGAAGTTAGAAAAACTAAAGAACTGGAAGAAACATGACCAGTTTCACGGAATTGAGGCAACACACCAATCCATGTGGTCAAAAAGGAATCACAGTCTCCTGCTCTGCCCAGTTAGAAAAGAAACGGGTTTTAAAGAAGTTTCAGAGTCGATAGTAAAGGAATATCAGACCAGCCCCAGATTTGGGTTTCTCTAAGTCTGATCCAACAGAATCGTTTTTCAAACTTCTGACTACAAAACTGTTAGACCGTGCAGCAAAGCTACCTTAAAAAGACAATCCGTTGTCTTTAGAGATTTCATGTACTTAGTAAAGCTATGAATTTTTAAAATAAATAAGTGGGATGGTCATGGTTTTACTTTGGATCTGGACTTGAGAGTAACTTCTATATATTCTGATTACTGAAGACCACTGGGGAAGATAAGATATGGGGGCAGAAAGGAAATCTCCTGAAATCTGCAAGTCTACACTGCTCAGAGTAGAAAAGGACTGCAGCCGGTGAGCCAAGTAGAGTTAATGACAGCACAGCACCCTTGTCTCCCATGAAGAATCAGAGAACACCACCGACTGCACAGAGCTACCAGGCCGGCCCTGAGGGGCCAGCGCACATGGCTCCATAGCCCTACAGAGAAGGATCTTTACCCGTGTCACTTTATATAAACAGAGACCAGGCCCAAAAAGCAAAGGGATAATTTGGTGAGGAAATTAACTTAGAAAATAAGTCCTGAGTGGCATTTTTATTCACAGGATACACGCCATGCCTTGTGTCATGAGTCTTGTCATTTAATTGTTCATGTCTGGCCTCCCCCATAGGAAGTATAAGCTCCCGCTGTGCCTGGCAGTGTGGTACCTGCACATCGTAGCCCCCTCCTCCACCCCAAATATAGATATACAGACTCATGTTCACACACATTAAAAATAAACCAATGGAATGGAAAAACACTTACTTCTATTTCCATGTGAATACAGCTTGCTAAACCATCTCTTGCGATACCTTCAATGGTGTCCCTATTTAACCCATAGTTGTGACGACCATAAGTGAATGTTAGAATGAACTTCCCCTGAAATTTGAGAAGTACAGAGATTTTCATATCACAGCTGCCACAGTGAAATTTAATATAAAGTTATGTGATGTCCTACTTTCACGTACGTGCCTCCATGAAACTTACATACGTGAGCAATTGCATAATAGGGTGGACAGTGGGGTTACAAGACTTACTATCAAAATACTGTAGAGAAATCTGATCAGAATTCTCAGGTGGCAAAAAAAAAATTAGTTTTTAGAGATGCCATAATTGGCTGACAAAACACGTGGGGAGAGAGTGAAGGTACTGAAGCTCGTGGTAGAATGGGTCATTCTGCTTACCCACCTGCTTCCTTGCCAACCCTGCACCATAAACTGCATCACTGAGAAACCTAACAGATAGCTCGCCCTTTACCTCAGCCACGTGGGCTATGCTGGCATAGCAGGTACCCCCAGGAAAAAGCTCCCATTCCCAAAAGCCCTGCATTCCCAGATAAGCCAGGAGGCCATGAATTACACGGACATCCTAAAACGTTTCTATCCTGAGATAAGCCATGAAAAACAGACCCAATTCTGGGGTTTTTTTTTCCCCCTTATAAAACAGAGCTTTTTTATTGAAACTGTGCCAAATGTTTCTCAACAAAATTGGTGTTCCCTGTCGTCATTTGAGGTATAAATGCTGCCTTCAATCTACATTCTGGAAGCCCAGTTCCTCCCAAAGCTGTTTTCCCTTTCAAAATAGTCCAAGTAAAATTGTGCCTCTCAAATTGTCCAGGTGTTCTCTTTGGAGGTATTTGTTAAACCACTAGGTCTAGTCTAAACTGGAAAGCTGGGGATCCCTGGGTGGCTCAGCGTTTTAGCGCCTGCCTTTGGCCCAGGGCGCGATCCTGGAGTCCCGGGATCGAGTCCAACGTTGGGCTCCCGGCATGGAGCCTGCCTCTCCCTCTGCCTGTGTCTCTGCCTCTCTATGTCTATCATAAATAAAATCTTTAAAAAAAACTGGAAAGCTGATGACAAAAGAAGGAATAAAAAAATATGGAAGATCTTGGTGACTGTGGCCCCTCATGTACGGGATTTTAAAAGAAATGATGACCACTTGCAAGGCTGAATCCCACTGATTGAATCGCATCAAATGGTGCCATCATCACTAAGGATAGTAGCAGTTGGGAGCCCTTGACGCTACATGCGGCTCCTGGCTCCAGATGTCCTGGAGACTTGCAAGTGGGGGACGGGCTGTCAAGGTGGTGTTGCAAGCCCGAGACACAGCATCTCTTGGGGGAGGGGGGTCTCTAGTGAATGTGTCTGCTATGAACGAGGAGGAAAATCCACACACCTCATAATCCAAAGAAGTTTATATTGTGTATTCTAAAAGTTAAAAACCCAACAGTAAATATCCTTAATGTTTTATTCCCTCAATGTCATACCTTTTTTGTTCTTTGGAGCAAACACTAGGACATCATTTCTTTTTACGGATATGTTGCATCTAGATAGATACTGAATCTCCCGTCAGGTATGTATTTATCTTGTTTACTGTGATTCATCCTGTTTTCGAATTTTTTTTTTTTTTGAAAAGGTAGGGAGGAGCAGAGGGAGAGGGAGAGAATCTTAAGAATCAAGACAGGGCTCGATCTCACAATCAATCCTGAGATCATGACTTGAGCCAAAATCAAGAGTCCGATGCTTAACTGACTGAGCCACCGTCGCGCCCCTCATGTGCACTCCTGAATCACATTTCAGACATATGAGTTTCTTGTGTGTACAAGGGCCTCCCTCTGTGGATCCCAAAAATATTTTCTGGACGAATGCAGAGTTGGGAGGACTCTGGTGGTGTACTTTTATATATAAAACAGCCCCTGTTAAATTTTTTTAAAGAATTGAAATTAAGTGGTCCTCCAGCTTCTGGCTGGTGATTCTCCTCTCATACCTTCCTGCTTGCAGATTTCTTAATAAACAGCAATAATCACATTTCTGAAGCCTCCAGATCTGTGATCTTATTTTGACAAGAGAGGAAGAATATCTGCAGAGAAATGACTGCATTTATGCCCTGAAAAAAGGTTCACGTATCAGTAAGCATGTGGTGGGTGACAATCCACGTGTTGGTAATGAAGGGATGGAGGAGTGGCTGGGTCTGACTGTCCACCAGAGGTGTCTGGGGCTAAGCCACGCCAAGGTTGTCTGTCGAGGGGTGAGGCAGGCTATCTGGGTGGGTGTTCTGGGGAGAGAGACTGTGTGCACAGCAGGCTGAGTGCCCTGGTGTGACTGGTGAAGCTGACAAGGTGTCCTGAGTTTGTAACCTCTAGGTCTGCCTCTTCATGAATCAGTCACAAGCTCAATCTAAAGAAAAGGAGCTCAGAAGCAAAATTCAAGTTGAAGAAAATGACATTATATTGAAGTAATATATGTTAACAGAAGCAGTAAAAAACGAGTACTGCTCAACCACATAAGGATTTTGTAGAAATAGAAAGAGTCAAACTGTAAAACCAAATATGGTATATAAGTACAGCTATTTTGTAGACTAGGAATTGAACCAACTTTGTTACGACCAGTACGATAAGGTATGGAACATCAGGGGAGCATATGGGGTACTGAGAACAGATGAAATGAACCAAGAAAAAAAAGTCTAAGGCTCTAACAAGAGAAATTAACATGAATTTCAGGAACTAGCTGTCTTTCAAACCAAAGAGTCCTGAAGGAATCCTTCTTACTAATATCCAGATAACGCTTTCTATCTCTATTAAGGCTTTTAAAAATATAAAATCCCAAAGTACTCTTGACACACTATAGTGAGCTACTAAATAAAATACAGCCCTAGGAGAGAAGATTATAAAGAATCTCCAAGACGTTCTTTTGAGAAGATTGGAGGGGAACGGCCTAGGGGTTACAGGACTTTCTCACTTGAGTTTTTCTGTGAATTCAAGAGAAAGCATGCACTATGTGTAAAGTTGGCCATTTGAAATTAAAGTCCTAGAAACTGCAGATCCCATGCTTAACTGTACCATAGTTTTGTGCACTGAAGTATAATGTGAGAGGTTAAGGCTGTCTATGTGTCCAAGACGGGCCAAGTGACTAGGACACACCACGATAAAAGGGTGCTTAGGGCCACAACAGTTAGAAAGCACCAGTGATAAGGCACCTGGGTGGCTCCATCAGTTAAGCAGCCAGCTCTTGGTTTCAGCTCAGGTCATGATCTCAGGGTCCTGGGATCGAGCCCTGCTTCAGGCTTGCACTCAGCACACGGTCTGCTTGTCCCTTGCCCTCTGCTCCTCTCCCTGCTCCTTCTCTCTCACAAATAAATAAAATCCTACAAGAAGAAGAAAGAAGAAGAAGAGGAAGAGGAAGAGGAAGAAGGAAGAAGAAGGAAGAAGGAAGAAGAGGAGGAGGAAGAGGAAGAAGAAGGAGGAAGAAGAAGGAAGAAGAAAAGCATCATTAATAGCAAACAGGATAGAAAACTCCAACATTAAGGGATGCTCAATTCATAAGCTTCACACATCAGATCAAGTCTGATTAATAACAGCAGCAGGTGATAAACACAGACCATGAGAACTCTTCATAATGCTCTTACTTCTACTTTTTTAAAGCGACTACTCATTCAGCTTTATTGAAAATTTACAATATTCTTTCCAAGATCGTAAAATACAGCAGCCTGTCAGCCTGGTTTATGAAAGAAACCAAGAACACTTCTCTCATAACAAATGGAAATATTTCTTTCTTTTTATCACTAGCTGCTAACATTGCTACCAGAGGACACGTATTTCTTGTGCAATACCAATAAAGAACGTTCTTACCATGTTTAGCATTTCATCAAAAACTTCCTGAGAGATAAAGTGATAATCGACTCGATCCCCTTCTCCAAAGTAAGGTGGTCTTGTGGTGTGACAGGCCCTGAAAGCAGAGTAGATAACTGGGCTACTGCCAGCAGCTTGACATTCAAAACAGAAAAGTTTTTTGGGTAAAAGTAGGTTTTAAAAAGTCGACATTGACCCACGAATCATGAATGGTGAAGTAACGTAGTTATGAAAGCACTGTGGTTTTGAAGTGCTAGACTCCATCCAGCTGCTGTACTCTAGGGATGATACAAATGCCGGACTATCCAGTCTTGACTCATTATGGTTGATCACCTCTGAACCACATCCTCTGCTGTCACGCACCACCACTTGGGTTCCTCACTCATGCAATCCTACCAGACAGTCTTGGTGTCCTCTCTGCTCTGCGGGCACTTCTCCACGGCCTTCCTCATCCCTCACCTGGCCAGCCCACCTGTCTCCAAGGACTCGTGGTAAGTGCCCTCTCCCCCACCTGCCCCTGCCCCAAAGCCTTTCTTGACACGCTATGGCTGGTCATGCACCTCCTCTTTACATGTCCACATGTGGTGCCTGCCACCCCGATTGCATCCCAGTTCCTTGGGAGGCCTGGGAACGGAAGCCACAAATGGAGCTCTCAGCTCAACCAGAGAGGCCCTTGCTGATCACGGCCTGTGACGCATCCCCTCCCTGTCCCCGGACCCCTCACTTCCTCTCTGTCGCCAAAACTGCCTTCCTTTATCCACATATCTGCTTTTTCCCTGTCTTTCCCCAGCAGGATGTCTGACTCATGAGGAGAGGACTTGATCTTGTTCATCTTACTTGCTACTGCTTTCCCCACACCTGGCCCATAGCAGGCAGTCGCTAGTTATCTGTAACATGAACGAGTAAATGAAACTCAGGAGGTGGGTAACAGGCATGATGAACTCCATTTGGCAGAGAACAACCAAAATGGCTAGTCTAAGGCCACAGAGCAGGCCAGTGTGGGTCTCAGAGCTAGATAATGGGGTCCCCGACTAGCCCACAACTCCTGATTTCATACCATTCTGCCTCCCTGGTGTTAAGTTCTGGGAATGCAAACTGATCTTTATATTATCCTGTGATTTTATTTTATTTTTAAAGATTTTATTTATTTGAGAGAGAGCACACGCAGAGGGAGAGGGAGAAGCAGGTTCCCCACTAAGCAGGGAGCCCGACGCAGGGCCCACCCAATCCCAGGACTCTGGGATCATAACCCAAGCTGAAGGCAGATGCTTAACCGACTGACCCACTCAGGCGTCCCAGTATCATCCTCTGGTTTTAAAGGACATAGAGAAGAGCTAGATATTTGACATGTTGTTTCATTACTGTTTCCATTTTACAGATGATGAAATTGAGGCAACAGCAATTAAGTAAGGTGACTAGCAAGGCCAGGATGACTCTGTGTCCATCCCTTTTACTATCATGCTAAAAGCATAAGTCACAACCTCAAAAGCCTCTTTGTTACCAAGTCAGAGTCCAGTTCTTACAATTTATACTGCTGTTCCCCTTCCATTATGAACAAGAATTAACTAGACTAGTAAAATTTAAGGTCTTAACATTATATTTAAATTATAGACCCAGGAAAGAGAGTATATCCTAAGAAAAGACTGTCAAAACACCGTGACATTTGTGTTATTGTGTGAATACACTGGCATTTCTTCACACACCCTGGCAGGGCCCTGGGACCCTCTGTCTACTGGTATCCCTGACAGTTGGGAGAGATAAATCAGTGACTTGGCACCCTGTGCTGTCCACCCTTATCATAGCCTTGAAGTGCTGTGTTGGATTTGCATTTTCCAACAAAGGAATTGAGCGGCAGGAATTTTTTCAGAATTTCTAAAAGGAAGACAAAGCAAAGAAATAATCGGAAGCTTCTGGGCAGGTAAATAAAGAGACGGCTTTACTGATGTGGAGAATGCGGATGACAGAGCCTGTTCCACTGCAGAACCTTCCATTAAGAAGGACCTACAATGACCTGTGGGTTTTTGAATCCTGTCATCCAATTTTCACATGTAGAAATGTTCCCTGTGAAGCGTGCTGCCCCAATGTGAACATCTTGAAAAGGAAATACTACCTAATGGAAGCAGTGTTTTACTCAACTTAGAGGAAAAAAATGGTGCCAAATTTTAGACAAAGACATTCGTTTGGGCCATCACCTGCAGTTTCCTTTTTCTCCCCGGTCTCAATACGATTCCATTTGTACTTCAGATTTCCATGAGTTTATTATTTACTAATTAATTTGCTAGTTAAGTCATGGTGAATTAGTTAAGTCATGGTTTGCAGTGGGAGGCACGCCAAGAGCTTTAATGTCGGAGCACAACGCTGGTCCTGAGGAGAGGTCTGAAAGTGAGTTTAGACATTCGCAAGGCCTGCTCATGGGTCAGGGGTCATGGTTCTAAAGAACCAACCCTGTGGAGAAGAGGAGATGATCAGAGGCAAAGGAACTCACAAGGTCAGACCAAATCATGAAATGGAAAACTATCCGGGGAAACATAATAGGAAGAAAAGATGTCTGGGACAAGCTAGCCGTTGGAGGAGTAGAAATTTCTTCAGTTTGATTCAGAAGCATTCAGTTTTACAGTCTCAGCTCTGGACCAGGTTGCCTCAGGAAACAACACACTTCTTGTAACTGCAGACATTTAGGCAGAGGTTTGGCTGCAAGCACATCTAAATTCAGGCACATGCTATCACACGGTACTGTGGGTATGTGAACTCTTCCAAGTTCAAAGGCTCTCCACAGAAGCTCGGGTCTTCTAGGACATTCAATAGGAAAATTAAATTGGTCCTAACCTTCAATGCAAATTATATGTCAACTAACTGCTGGGCATTTAGAAGAGATCGTCAACACCTAAGAATTCCAGCACTGGTCTTCCAGGAGGAAGGTGCCTGTTGTTCTCTCTGCCTAGAAGGTGCTCCTGCTTGAGTTCTGCATCCCACTTGCTGTCCACTTCTCTCCTGGAGGCTCTTCACTTCCCTCCTCCTGACACCCATCAAACCAGCCTATTAGCCAGCGTTTACCTGCCTGGGCCCCACCTCAGCTCTCAGGATGGGACCCACATCTGCTTGTTCTCCAGTTTACCGCTGGAACAGGACCCAGGGCCGGTGCTCCATAAACACTGATTAGGTGAATAAATGAACCATTCTGCTGGCTTGTCACATCTGTATAAACAGATGCTGGATTAGACTGTGTTAAGGTAGCTGTAGCTCATACACCTCATTTAGCTAAACAGCTGTGGTCTTTTACTTTACTACCATACCAAGAGTAAAGAGATTTGGTAGTCAACATCATGAAAAAGGTTATAGAAATAGGGACTGCTGTAAAATAGAGATCGAAGAAAGAAGAATAAAGTTTTTCTTTCATAACTATTCAGATCGCTTTCAAGGCCTCAAATCTGGAAGATGAACTGGTGTTCTGGCCCTGTTGTATGTTTCTCTCAGTATTCATTACTCTTCCGGGGAGCCACTGACTTGTGTGGTCATATTAAGGTTGGAAATAGATTTTGAAGGCAGTAAATTCATATCTCCATGTATGACTAATACAGGTAAAGAAAGAACAACCAACCTATTTCCAAAACCAAGAACAAAAAACCAAAATCTAAAATGAGAACAAAAATCTCTCAGCCATTCCAAGACCTGTCACACCACTGTGTCATGCTTTTAATGGATATACAACTCAGTGTGCAGGAATTTCATTGAATGTCTCAGTCGTGGGTCAATGTATTTAAAAAGGAAGACAGAGGGGCACCTGGGTGGCTCAGTCAGTTAAGTGGTTAACCTTCAGCTCAGGTCATGATCCCAAGGTCCTGGGATCAAGTCCCACATCATGGTCCTTGCTCAGTGGAGAGTCTGCTTCTTCCTCTCCCTCTGTACCTCTCCCAGCTCATTCTCTCTAAGAAATAAATAAATAACATCTTTTAAAAAATGTTTAAAAAGACAGAATACCAGAAGATGGAAAAGATTCAAGCAAATGGCAGAGAAAGTGCCTTTGTAAATACTTGTATGTTTCATGATGAAACTGTTTTCATGCCTTTTTCTCCATTTAATTTTAAAAAATCAAAAAAATTATGTTGGATAAAGAATTTTAAAAATCTAAATGAGAGCAATGACTTGCCTCTGAGGATGTGCTTTGGTTTTATCATTTGTTTTAATTAGAAAGTTGCTGTTGACAAAGTAGTACTATCTTACTTCCTCCACAGATGGAATTACTAGCTACCTAATACCTTCTTTTTAATCCAATGCTATGACCTTTGATCCACGCCTTGATGGAATTTTTAGATGTGCCACTGAGCCAGCCCTGATCTTGGCCATTGTGAGGATGCAGGTAATGCGGGACCAGGCTTCTGAGCCTATGAGGGAGGCGGGTGAGTGTGTACTTGGTAGCAAGGTAGTTAGGAGAATCTTTCCACACTCGCCAGTAATTCCATCCAGAGGAGAAAGACGGCAGCAGTAGTAGTAACGTTGTAGGCATGAAGTTAGTTTTAAGATTTTGTTTTTACTGTCTTGTTCATGACATTAACTGAAGGTCTGAGGTCCCCACTAGAATATAAATTTCATGAAGGTTGGGCAGTCCAGGTGGCTCAGTGGTTTACCGCTGCCTTCAGCCCAGGGCCTGATCCTGGGGACCCAGGATCGAGTCCCACGTCGGGCTCCCGGCATGGAGCCTGCTTCTCCCTCTGCCTGTGTCTCTGCCTCTCTGCCTCTGCCACTCTCTCTCTCTCATAAATAAATAAAATCTTAAAATAGGGATCCCTGGGTGGCGCAGCGGTTTGGCGCCTGCCTTTGGCCCAGGGCACGATCCTGGGGACCTAGGATCGAATCCCATGTCGGGCTCCCAGTGCATGGAGCCTGCTTCTCCCTCTGCCTATGTCTCTGCCTCTCTCTCTCACTGTGTGCCTATCATAAATAAAAAAATAAAATAAAAATTTAAAATCTTAAAATAAATAAAATAAATTTCATGAAGGCAAGGACATTATCAATCTTGTTCCCGCTATATCTTTGAGGGCTTAGCACATGGGAGGAACTCAATAAATGTTTATTGAAAGAATTGGTAAATGAATGAATTCATCCATCTCTCCATATTTCCACCCATGGCAGTTGGGGAAAACCACCTATGCTTATCACAGTAATTTCCCAAAGAATGCTGCATACCATACCCTTTATTCATTCATCCTGTTCACTCACTCCATCTGTCACTTGGTTAACAGGTATTTCTCATGTAGGTATAAAGAGCCTGGTCACCTGCTGAACACTGAGAAGTGAACAGTGGGCAAAGCTGACATTGCTACATCCCTTCCTTGAGCTTACAGATGAATAGGGAAAATTAGTATTAAATAAACCAAGCACAAGCATGGTAGATAAACATTCTAGTAGGGGGAAGACAGGATAATAAAATTGATAATTGGAAGGCCCATCCAGGTGAGAACAGAGAGGATGATTGGATCACAATCTTGGTGATGAGTTAATAAACACCTCCAAGAGCACATCTGACCCAGCATGCCTCCATAACATGTAGCACAAACACATACGAAGGACCTGGCTCCCAACCTTTACAAATTAATTGAAAGGAATTCTGATCACAGAGAGCCTTGGTCCCCGGCATTCTGGTTTGCTAAAAGGTTCCAGGTTCACATACTGACACAGTAGCCGGGACACACCTTTCTGCCCTATGTTGACCTTCCGTTCATTTTGTTTCACTTATCTTTTAAAACAGGTTCAGCACCCCTACACAGGTATAATGGCACTCTAGACTTTTTTATTCCAATGCTAAGTTTTATTTTTGTTACTCCAGGGTGCTTAAAATATATTAGGGAATAAATCATTCTATATAGTCGAATCCTAGAGTTGTTCAAATGAGGGATGTAATTTTAGATATCTAAATAAATGGACCTGTTTAAAAATAGTATTTACATTGTTTGAACATGTATAGCTTAAGGGGAGGAAAGGCATTAGAAAATAATTTGCATTTATTTTTCTTGCTGTCCAAAATATCTTCATAGTCGCCTCCTCCGGTCACCAACTAACATTAGTAATATAGAAATAATTGCTTTGCCATAGGTAAAAACTAAGAGGAAACCAGTTTAAAAGACCACAGTGGTGACTCTAAATATGACTCCTAGAAACCTTTAAGAAGTCTTTAAATCCAGCTGAAGATTTTTTTTTTGATTGGTCCCAATTTTTTTTGATATTCTCCTCTATTTTAACTGGACCATCAGGGAATCACACAGCAAAACCTTTACTCCAGAAAACTGGAATGTACTGAATGCTAACCCGAGGGAAAGGAAAGGAAAGGAAAGGAATGGAAAAACATTTGCTGTCATTTCTTTCCTTTCTCCTGAAATACGCCTCAAAAGAGGATGCCCCGCATGGATATGAGGAATCAGAGCTGCAGTCAGTGTGAGTTCCAGCAAAGGTGAGAGGAGGCGGCCACGGGGACACTGAACAGCCCACTCCACATCACAGCACCCATCCATGCAGTCACATCCCATGTCCCAATGCCACCATGCTTCACGAAAAACACTTGTATTTTTCAAAACTTGGAGAGTGATTTCAGCTGTCAGTGAATTAAGGCAAACATTTGGAGGATGACAGCACAACAAAATGCAGTGTCTATCACAGTGCAATAAACAGCAGAGAAGCTGATGAGCTTTCTCTGTACATTTCTGAGCTTGCTTAAAATTAAGAGCCAAAAGGAGCAATAGTGCCAACATTTTACAGACTTACTGGCCAACACACAAACTTACCCATATCTGAAGTATGTGCTAAACTGTCTGCAGAGGCGGTGAGCAAGTTCTCGTTTGCCACAGGCTTCAGGACCAGCTAGCACCAACATGGGGTAAGGGGCATCCAGACGAGGAAGCGTGCTGGAACACAGAGCAGCCAGTGACGGGCCGGCTGTGGTCACACACACACACACTCACACCCAGGGCACCGGGTGTACATCATGGTCACACATAAGTCAGTGACGGAGCACCTGCTACATGTAGGTGCTGGAATCTGTGCAAGGGGAAGTAATGGGGCAGCAGAAGAGCTGAGGGGTATGCACTGGAAAGCTAGTACATGAACAAAAATCTGTACATCAATATTCATAATAGCTGGATTTGTAATAGCCCCCAAATGGAACTGGCTCAGAAGTCTTTCAAGAGATGAATGGTTACACTAATGGTGGTGTATCTGTACAAGGAATGCTACTCAGCAATAAAGAGGAATGTGAACTACCGATATATCCAACAACTTGGATGAATCTCCAGGGAATAAGGCTAAGTCAAAAAAAAAAGCCAATTATTCCATTTGTATAATATTCTTGAAATGACAACATTATAGAGACGGAGAACAGACCACTGGTTGCCAGCGTTTAGGGGAGTTGAAGAGGAAAGAGGTGGCTGTGGCTCTAAAGGGGAAGCGCAGGGATCCTTGGGACAAAACTCTTCTGTAGTGGTGCTTGTATGATCTACACATATGATAAAATTGTATAGAACTTAAGTGCACACACGAGTACATGCAAAACTGGTGAAATCTGACCAGGTAGGTGGATTGTATCAATGTCAATTTCCTGGATTTGATATTCTATTATAATTAGGCAAGATATGGACCATCTAAAACTTCTCTGTATAATCTCTTACAACTGCATGTGAATCTATGATTATCTCAAAGTAAATTTTTTTTAATGATTAAAGAAGAAAAAAAATTAAAAGTGACAAATACTGAATATAGGCAGGAGATCTTCCTGAAAAAGGAAACCAAAGCAAAGGAACAGAACAAATATTACACTGTAATTCAAGAATTTTCCAAAAATAAAAAAAAATAGAACCATACGTTGAAAGAGTAAACAGCATACTTGAGCATATTAACCCAGAATGGCTAATATTAAGACACAGTCTAGTAAAATGACCAGACTCTAAAGAAAAAAAAAAAACTGTTCAGCTAGAAAAAGAGAACACATGACTTATAAGGGAAAGAAAATTGTCTATCAGGTTTTGATAGATGTTTTGCACACCTCTCCCCCCCAAAAAAGAGTAGCATCTTTTATATGATCAAGGAAAAAGTGTGAGCCATGGATTTTAAATATAGCAAAAGTGACTTTCAAGTATAAAGGACAGAGAATACTGTCAACATGCAAGAAAGAGTTCAAGGGGTATTGATCCTCTAGCCCATCCTAAGGAGTCTACTGGAGACCAAGCTTCACACCCACTTAACTCAAGAGACATTAATATAAGGGCTATTGGTGAGCCATAAATATGCAGTTATCCATAGAACTACGACCAAATGACAGCAAAGGAGGAAGTACAGTGTGTGATGGATATACGTTCTGACAATAGAAATATGGTGCACTATTTTTAAAGTGGGTGATTGACACCTCCATAAAATACATAAAATAGGCAGATTCACAGGGATAAAAAGTAGATGTGAGGTTTCTAGGGATTGGGAGTAGCAGGCAGTGGGCAGTTGCAGTTGGGGGAGGGGGGATGAAAAATTCTAGAAACAGGTGGTGGTGATGGCGGCACAACAGTGTGAATATAACTAACGCCACTCAACTGTACACTCTGAAATGGTTAAAATGGCAAATTTTATGTTATACGTACACTTAACCACAATAAAAAATGGGGGGAGGTGATGGGAAGAACATAGGCAAAATATGATTTCACTGTTTTCAGGAATCATGCTGGTGGAGGTATTAGCACTGATACCATTGTGCTACAATATGGGATTTAAAAAAAATAATTATGGGATATTCTAAATTCATCTTCCTCTGTGTCTTCGATGTGGGAAGGAGGATACAGAAGTAATAGGATTACTAAAAGCTCCACTATCATCTTTAAACTGAACGGTAAATATCAATATGAATTCAGGAGATATTTTATCATCTATCTACAAATAGATGCAGATAGATCTATCTAGATATAGGCTAGATATAAGCATATTGAATAGATGTATATAGAGACTTATAGATAAATAGGATAGATGGAATAGGCCAATGGGTGGATAGAAGGGTGGGTGCGTGGATGGATGGATGACAGGAAGGAAATGCATTCCTAGCTGTGTCTACTAAAAAGCCTAACAACAATGACCAACTACGTAGCAATGATTCCCTCTAGCACATATTGTGACTGGGAGATACCTCCTCTCACTAAAACAAACCAGGGCTTCTAGGAGAAGTGGTTGATTCCAGAGTTTGGACAGGGCTTGTCCAAGATGAGCCTAGAGAACCTTGCCATACAAGAGAGCAAGAAAGCAATCAATGACTGCAGTACAATTTTAGTACTGTAGCCTCACCCAGTTGTGCCAGGGGAAGGGACAGTGACTCCCCAATTACGCAGCATAAAAGTCTCAAGGTCAAGAGTTAGGGTTTCCTACTGGCCCAGACCAGGAAGAACAATAGCAGGCCTGCCCCTGTCTCTGTGAGTTTCTCCCAGGCACCTCTCCATTCTGAAGCATCTGGAGCTCCTTGGCCATTTTGCTTTTGTCTACTCGATAGCTACACATGATGAAGAAATACGTGTTTTTCAGACAACGCTGTAAATTTCTTTGATACATATTTTTATATAAATGTACCCTAAAGTATGAAACAACTAGCAATCTCATAAACGTGGAAAGAAATACAATGAGGACATAAATGCCCTTCTTTTAAATCAAACGTGCTTTTCCAGATGTATGCAAATAAATGATAAATCATTTCACCTCAAGGGCTGCCATAAATATATAAAACTGTCAATGTCTGTATTATTAAATTACATGTAAAAAATCATGTCCTGGATGCAAAATAAAACATATGTTCTCTATGGGAAACCAACCATGTGAAGTACAGAAGCAAATATCACATAAAGAAGAGGAGCCATTTATAACGAAGAGATTTTACAAGTATTTTTAAAATGCCTTTGGGTATTGATAGAATTTCTGCAATATACTTATAGCATAAATGGCCATCTGCTCCAACAGATTGTTTAAAAAGAAACAGAGAAACTATGGTAAATCTGTCCTTGAACTTTGAGGTGAGAGACTCTGTTCACGTACTCAACTAAGCTGGGTGACTCACAGGCTCAGTGCAATCAGCATAAAGACTATTTCATGTCTTCCTTGGGCTAGTTGGGCTTCCTTCCGTGGACTCTCTCATGATCTGCATTTGTGGATGCTCTTTGGCAGGGCTATCTAGCACTCACTCCTAGCCAAGGAAAAATTTACAGCAGACAGAATTCATCACAGTTCTCTGCTAATGAGGGAGAGGTCTGTGGTTCTGTCTTACAGCAGGAAAGTTGACCTATTTTTAAATGTTCTGTTTCACTGTCCTATGTCACAGGCTAGCTACCATTCAAGGGGCTGGATGAAAAAGGGAAGATGAATCCACTCACCTCAATGCCTGGGAAAACACCAGTGATGAACCCCAAGCTCAAGCATGTGATGATAATCGCTAAAAGTGACATAGCCGAATAAAAACCCTTCCCCCAGAGAAGGCAAGAGAGGGGTGAGTCACAGAGCAGAGGCTAGGGAAGATGAGGAAGTTGTCCTGGGCCTGCCCTCCTGAGTTCTACCCTGGGGATCCCTCACGAATACCTGTCAAAGATCCTCTGTGGCTGCATCACACTGTTGACGACATGGGTCAGGTGATCCTGGGCTGCAACCACTTCTGGGGGAGGGTCGTATCTATTCACTGCTGCAACCTTTTCCAGAATTAGAAATACAAGAGGGAAAACATGGTTCATTTCTTAAGAGAAGACAAGTCTTAGGTTTTCTGTCGTGAAACTTTCTGGACGTGCAACCAGGTCTGGAAAGTAATTTAACGCACACTCACAGACCTTTTGTACTCAGTCTTCATGTCTACTCTAACTTTCCTAAAACCCAAATAATGATTATTATCTGAAAATATGAAAAAAAATTATCTGAAAATGTGGAGCTGGAGTCTCTGGGTCCCCTACTTCTTTATGCTCCCTGGTTTGGGAGGAAAGAAGCAAAAACAAAACCTCTCAAGCCCAAGATTACTTATAATATAGTAAACATTCCCACTTTTGGTATGAAAGGAAGGGATAAAATACATAGTTCCAGATTCTGGGTCATTGATATGGAGGGATATGTTCCTCATCCCATCTCACCAGGAACTCTCCCAATGATATCAGATGATATCCAAACCTCCTCCTTTTTCAGCAGAGTTTCCTGTGTTCAAAGAGAGGAGTCTTTCCCCCATCATGTACACTTCTCTATCCACATGTCCTTGTCACCCGTCTACATACATTACCTTTGTGTACCACACCTTTACTCAATGTGGGATTTTTATTTTTTTAAGATTTTATTTATTTATTCATGAGAGACACAGAGTGAGAGGCAGAGACATAGGCAGAGGGAGAAGCAGGCTCCCTGCAGGGGATGCAGGACTCAATCCCAAGACCCCGGATCATGTCCTGAGCCGAAGGCAGATGCTCAACCATTGAGCCACCCAGGCGTCCCTAGTGCAGGCTTTTGAATCCCATTCCCTGTGCAAAATGCTAAAGATAAAGAGAAATAGAGAAATCTAGCAAGTGCCTCTGAGTTGGAGAGTAATAACGCACTAGCATCTGCAACTATTTTTAACTGCAATTTCAGACAGGCATGTGTGAAATGGAATATCCGCCCCTCTACGTGCTTATCCCTATTTTCATGCTCATCTCAAATTTGCATTTAGTGTATGAAATCCCTCGTTAGTGGAGATTCCAGCTGTCACCAGTCACTAAACGCAAGAGAAAGCACTGCCAAAGGTACAGTGGCAGAGGGGAAGATGCTAGCACTTAAGGTCCAGTTACTCTGGAACGATGTGTTGGGGGGGTGGGTCATGACTTTAAAGAGCACAATTAAGGATTTAAAATACTGAGATAATTATTGAGTGCCTTCTGATTATATGTACAGTGACATGATAATAAATGTCATTATTAAATGAATATTTAGAGCAACACATAGAGAATCACACTCCCTCCAAAGATGACAGTCATCCAAGCTAAAAGACTGCCATCGTGCTGCTGCCTGCACACACGGAGTGCAGCCTCTGTCCCCGTGGCCGGTCTGTTCGCTGCGCAAGGGCAGTGCCTTTGCCGCGTGGGTGCTGATGCTCAGCTTCTCAGGGGGTTAAACCACAGACTACGGGAACACTCCCTAAACAAATAGTTCATTCACATATTGTCACGTGTGCCACTTACGGGGTACATTGGTCCTGCAGCAGAGCCTTTGAGCACATTAGTTTGCAAACACATGGAATAACACAATTTACATACCTTTTCTTCCACTTTGATTTTCTTCTGATCTAATTCTGTTAATCGTAGGAGCATAAAAATCACGAAGAACCAATATTCAGCTTTTTCCTATTTAAAATATCAAGAGGAATATTCAATTGCCTTCCTTTCCCACAGGAACAAGCATCAGCATGCCACTCTCACAGGCAGGTGTTTCGGCTTCTACCCTGTTCACTCACGGACACACCCTCAAGGTGTCTACAGCTTCACACTTACCAGTCCCCTTATATAAACTCAAATGCAGGCTGTGCCTTGTAGCTTCCAAAGCTCTTCAAACATGGGATCCTGTTAATCTCCTTGTGACATAAGCAGGACAGGTATGATTATCTCCATTTCTAAAGAGCAACTAAGCCTCAGAGTGGTGAAGCATTTCCCCTAAGATTACACGGCCAGGGATTCAAATCCTATTTTCTAACTCCAAAGAGTTTCATTATTGCAAATAATGAACATTATGACTACTCTGTCATTTGTTTGGTATTATTTTGTATTAGTTTGAATTAACCTGTACCATTTTGAATATCTTACACTAATAAATAACATTCATTTATAGAACAAATTCCTCATTACTCCCAACCATCTGCTATGTTAGGATTATCTGGCTTTTAGAAATATAATTAGAGTGTTGTATTAAGAAGCTACATCTTTGGGATCCCTGGGTGGCGCAGCAGTTTGGCGCCTGCCTTTGGCCCAGGGCGCGATCCTGGAGACCCGGGATCGAATCCCACATCGGGCTCCCGGTGCATGGAGCCTGCTTCTCCCTCTGCCTGTGTCTCTGCCTCTCTCTCTCTGTGACTTTCATAAATAAATAAAAATTAAAAAAAAAAAGAAGCTACATCTTTAAGAGAAAGGTATTAGTGGGTGATGCATTTCATAGATAAGAATGCACATGAAATGAACATACAAAGGTATCTTTTTTTGTCCTTCCATGTGCAAGTTGGGGTTGTTTATAATGCGTGTGAAAGGGTTTTTGTGGTGTTTATGCACACGCACAAGCTCTCAAACTGGGGATCGATGGCCATTTTGTAAGCCCTGCTCCTTTCTTTACCAGAGATGCCTTTAAGTTGCCTGCCACTGTTTTTATACCAAGGATTGGACTTATTTTGTAATCTGATTTCTCATTTTTGCTTTTTTTTGGCTTGCCCAGTCCTGTTCATCAAGATACACACACAAAAAAGAGGTATTCAGGAGATATTAAATTCAAGGGTCTCTGGAAAGGTAAGTGAAGGGTATAGGTATAGGTAGCAAAGTGGAATGAAGGACAAATGGAAAAAGAGGCAGGGACAGAGGCCAGAAGAAAGGGTCTATCAATTGCGGGGAAAAGAGAGGCTTGAAAAATGGAGCAGATTTTTGCACACCAGAGGTGAAAACTCCTTGAGAAATACAGTATTTCTTTCTATAATCATTTTCCAACACCGCAATTTCACAACTAGATCCAGACAAATTACTTTAGGTATCTGATCTTAGACTTTCTCTCCCCTATTACGAAACAGGAACCAGAGTCTGTCTACATTGCCAGCATCGTGCATTCTAGAAGGTAAAAGGCCATTCATTGCTCCAGCGTCAGCAGCTCTGCTGTGAGGTCTTTACCACCATCCAGGATGGGGCAGAGATGAGCACACCCTCCAGGGAACCCCAGGCTCCTCTCTCACTTGTGGCTCTGCACAGCTGCTACTTTGCCTAAACCTCCTAATTGTTTCCTCAGAGATGGAGAATGAAGGTAAACACAATTTATTCACATTCCTGATGCTCCTTATCCAAAGTACTTCCTGAACAAGAATTCCAAGGATGTTCTCACCCCTCTCCCCACATAAATCTCTCACCTGAATTGGATTTCTTAGAAAATTGAGAACCCGAAGGAGAGGTAGACTTTCAATGTATTCTATTTCACCCAGCTCAGCAATCTGTTTAATCAAAGAAACAAAATATTGTCAATAAACTGTACAACAAAAAATATAAAACACTGTAAGAGGAGTGAGGATGGATCTTCTAACTTCAACTTATTTTAGAGGTTGCTGTGTTGAATATCTAGCCTCCTAAGGAGTATTCCCAATGCAGAACAAGGGAATTGCCACATGCTCCCTCACTAAATGTGAACACACATGGCCACATTTTCTTTTTTCCTCTCTGGCTAAAGAACAGTGAGCTGTTCCTCAGCTCAGCCATCCTTATTTTAAGGCAGAAGTAACTTTGTATGCAGAATCAGAGAAACAGTACAAAAATGCACCTGAGGACTCCCTGGTTCTCCTCCCCCCTAATCCTTCCTACCCCTGCTGCTCCCCAGTCTCCCTCCCCTACCCCAACGCTGCCTCAGCTGGCCTGGCTATCTGTGGCTGGTGAAGATTTCTTACTACATGTAGCTCTGTTTTTTCAATAGGAGACAATTATTTTAAGGAAAGATAAAAACAGAAATTATACAACACATATCTTGACACGGGTATTCGACTTAACATTTTTGTTTGAACTCCCACTTATGTTTTATACTCTTCTCTGTGTAGGTTATGTTTCACAACTTTAAAAAGTGAGGGGACAAGAGGTTGCTTGGCAGCTCCTTAATTTGCCCAAGGATAGAGCTTGGGTTGCAGAATGAATTTCCCACTAAAGACAAACCATTTCACTTAAATTTCCTGTCATTAGCATAACTACAATTTTATTTCAAATGTGGATATTGGACTTTCACAAAAAAAATCAATTATCACTTTTTCACTATATTTCTCAAGTCATTCCTGTGTGCACTGTGAAAGCACTCCAAAGGCAGTCACTGATAACTCCTGAGTTATCCAAACACAAAGTACAGCTAAATTAAACTACTCCTAGAGCTAAATCAGAAGAACATATGCACTATGTTCAAGGGATGCCATTTTCAAAGACATAATATAAAAGGTAAACTCTGAGTCACCACATCAAACCTGCATTAGTTCTATATGTTTATTAATAAGCATTAATCTACCTATAGCAATGCTGTTCTATCAGATACAGCTCTTTTAACACAATGACTAGATCCATTTGAATGGCATTTTGGTCTTCCACAAGATAAAAGGATTCTTTAAAAAAACATTACGTCATCCAGGAAGATGCAAAAGTAAACTTGGTTCACACTTCTTGGTCAGAACTTTTGAACAACAGATTGATTTTCCTCTAGCACACAGCTCATGTGCTTGGACTCGGCACAAATGTGAGGAGGTGTGTTTTCCTGCAGTGAGCATGTCTTACTGAGTCCTGGAGAGATCATTGTTTCTAAATTCCTAAAACTCCCATCATTATGTGATTAGAGTCATAGTACAGTTCCATAATAGGAACACTATGCCTTCAGGTGACATCTCTGGTAACTGACAATGGGAAGATGTTGAAATGTCGCAGACAACATGAATAGCATAATCGTGGGTGACAAAATCATGACTAAAATGTCAGCTGGGGTCATCTGGTCTTTTGAGAGTCAAATGAGAGGGATCCGACTCCCCTCCCACCCTCCCAGTCCTTCCAGAGGTAGTAAGAGGTTGTTAAGGGCAGAGCAAAGCAAGTATGGGGTAGCCCCGCTTCAACATCCCACGCCTGAATAATTAGCCATGTTCAGCAGATACTGGCTCTCCTGCCTGTGCCCTCCTCCTCCCCACCCCCCAAAGACCTCACTCCACTGCAGACTCACCCTCATGTCTTCTCAAATGCCAAGACCCAAGGTTGTGTGCATCACAGACCATTACAGTAGTGTAGGGGTACAGCACCCCCAAATGGCTTAAAGTGAAACATGGCCAGAAAGGTTCTTTTTTTTTTTTAAGATTTTATTTACTTATTCATGAAAAACAGAGAGAGAGGCAGAGACACAGGTTAGAGGGAGAAACAGGCTTCTGGCAGGAAAGCCCAATGCGGGACTTGATCCTAGGACCAGATCCTGCCCTGAGCCAAAGGCAGACGCTCAACCACTGAGCCACCCAAGAGCCCCAAAAGGTTCGATTCTTAAAGGAACTTCCGCCGTCTGCGGTGGAGAATGTCACACTGGCACAGCTGATCCCCAGATTCCAGATGCCCCTCTTCCCAAACCTCCTCTGCCCTGTGGGTTACTCCTAACCCCTAGCAGCCTGTCTACTCCAAATCCCTGGGGAGAGCAGTTTAGCTGACTCTCATTTTGCCATTTCCTCCTAGGCTATGCTCTCCAAGCCCCAGCATCCATACCTAAAGCAGCCTGTGAAGGCTTTTTCTTTGACTAATTGATGGACTGATTGATTTGTGAAATAATGATGCTAAAAGAAGTAAAACACCCTTCTCTAAGTAACTCTCCAATGAAAGTCTTGCTTCTGAAGAAAGGACTGAGGTTATAATAGAGTTAATATTTGGAGGATAAGTTTTAAATGCTCGAAAGGACATCAACTCTAACAAGGACTATAAAGAGTGCTGGGCCCCCCCAAATCACCAGCTGATGGTCAACATTTGCAAAGGAACTTAAGAGAGATGTTGGAACAATCGTGAGAGGGTACAGACATGCGGCAGCAGCAAAAACCAAGTAAATAATACTGATGAAAGTGCTACTGATAAAACATCAAATTAATCGTAGGAGCAAACAGCTACATTATATTTCTGTTGCATAATAAATTTTCCATCCCTGACATGGTATTCTCAGGAGTACTGAAGAAATCCCTGAGGAAATCTTTGGAAGGCACAAAGAATATTTCAAAGTACTGTTGGTTACTCCCCAACCTGCCCAGTGGGAAGCCTGGGAATTATGTTATTGTTATGGACTCAGCTGTTCCCAAAGGATTCCCTACTCTGGGACACATGGCCACTTTTTCTTCAACAGAGTCTAACATTTGAAAATTATAAATCTCCTTTACTCGCTGAATGATACCCCCTACCTTTTCCCCCCTTAAATGTTTTCAAATGTAACTTGCAATGTCTCTTGAAATGGAAGAGAACAATATATGTATTCACAAGGTCCTTCTAGAGCAGCGCTATCCAATATGGTAGTTACTAGCCACACATGGCTACCTAACACCTGGAGTATACCTAGGAGGACCTGAAATGTACATATATACAAGATATACACCACAAATGTCAAAAACTTAATATGGGAAAGAGGTTATAAAGCGCCTCCATCAATGATTTTAGTAGGTTACATGTTGACATGATCATATTTTAGATGTATCGGGCTAAATTACTTCTGTTTCTTTTTACTTTTTTATTGTGGCTACTAGGAAATTTAAAATTGCATATGTGGCTGACATTTACAGCTTGCATTATATTTCTATCAGAAAGCACTCTTCTGTTACATTACGCTGTCTGCTTTTCTGAAGGAGGGGTCATTAGCATTTCTTTACTGTATTATCCTTCAGCGTTGAGAACGCTGAGTCTAGAGGCAAACCATTCTATATTTGCATCCTGGCTGTGCTGTTTGCTAGATGCAGAACTCTGGGCATGTTACCTGACCTCTCTGTGCCCCAGTTTCTTCATCTGTAAAATATGACAATAATAGGGTATACCTACATGAATATTAAATGAGATGATAGATGTGAAGTGCTTAGAACAATGCCTGTGCACAAGTACTCAACAAATATCTCTAGATGGTCTTATGACTCTAATTATTACTATTACGACCATTAAGCATTATTCCTGTCCCTGAATTCTGAGATGCATTCACTTGGGATTCAATGTATGCATTCCATCTTTTCAACATTCCCTGGATATATATGAGAACCATTTTCAGGGAAATTTCATGAAAACAGGACAAAACAGGGATTGTACTGATGTCATAAGACATGTGGCACAGTGAACAAAAGTTAAATGAACTTTAGAAGTTGACAAAATATACAAATCCAGTAAAAATAAAGATGAATGGTTTTGTCTGTGATTAAACATCTACTTTTCCCAGACCTCAGGATGGCCTTTGATTGACATTTAGACTAAAGGTGACACAACTTCATTGGAGAAAGAGTCATCAGACATGACTGACAAGTAACCATCACACCTGAACGGAGACACATCTCCACAGCATCACATCTCACTCCAGCTAAGATCAAGGTCTCTTCCAGGGCCAAAGTTTGCATTTTCAAGAAGAAATAGTCAACTTCCTTATGAAGTCTTTCCAAAAAATGTGATAAAGTACTCAGTAAGAATAAAATTGTTTCAGGATCCCCGGGTGGCTCAGCGGTTTAGCGCCTGCCTTTGGCCCAGGGTGCGATCCTGGAGTCCTGGGATCGAGTCCCACATCGGGCTCCCGGCACGGAGCCTGCTTCTCCCTCCTCCTGTGTCTCTGCCTCTCTCTCTCTCTCTCTCTCTCTCTCTCTCTCTCTATCATGAATAGATAAATAAATCTTAAAAAATTAAAAAAAAGAATAAAATTGTTTCATAGACATTATTTCTTAAGTAGTCAGATATACCATGATTATGAGCACAAATGCCTCACTGAAAATAAAGTATAATTAAGAGTGAATGCCAACTTATATAATTTGTGAAACAAAGGGTATATTAATCCAGCTGTGGAAATCTGAGTCAGTCCAATTCCCAAGTCCTACAGATTAGGAACATACACTACTGTTACCGATAGAATATAGAAGAAATTCACTCCCATGCCTCTTCTCTTTAAATGACAGGCATGGGCAACACCAGCCTGAGGCTTTTCCCATGTCTCTAATCTCCCTGCTCTGACATTTCAAGACATTCCCGATATGACCTGTCTACAAAAAATTTTAGATGAACACATCACTTCTGAAAGTCATCTCTGCTTGGTTGCAGTTTAAACCCGTAAAAGAATTAATTAGGAATCATCAGATTTTCAAAAATTAAGAATGCTGTTTATTACAAGCAAATGAATGAAATACTCCTCCCTCAACTACTGCTTCAGGAGATCTTCTGGAATAACATTTGTAAAGTACATCAAGACTGTTATCAAAAGTTTTGTCTGTGTTATTGCACCTGACTTCAGGATACAAAAAAATTTTTTTGCCCTGTAGTGCCTCTCCTCCTGGAATTGTAAGTTGAACACAATGCTAGTATCTGTTTCCACTGTGAAGTGGACATTGTTACAGAGAACACACCAGAGCCTTTCTGTTAACCAAATAATGCGTGAATATATGATCTGTGTTGAAATCCTGTAGTTTTACCTGTCGATACTGTCTGTCCTGTTGGAGAATACATTCTGGATGTTTAAAAAGAAATAGAATAACATTTCTAAGCCAGTAGTACAAGTGACAGCCCTTGAGAACCAATAATGGGTCCTCTCATGTAGGCACTGAAACCAGGACAGATAAAGTGAGATATTACCTTATTATCCTCCAGGTTGATCACTTCCAGGAAGTCATGGTTCTCTAAGCCCTGGAGGCTACTGATCTGATTATGGGACAGATCCACGATCTGCAGGGCTTTTAGGTCCTCCAAACCTGTGATCTTCTCAATCTGGTTATTGCTCTAAAATAGGTAAAATACATCATGTCTTAAAAGCTTCTAGTAGGAAAAAGCGTAAGGCCAAGCTTTCATTCTGGATGCTGCCCAAATCTCCTAAAATCAGCAAGCCATTCTTGTGTCCCTGCTCCTACTCATTTCCACACTTAACCTCTGTAAACACTTACACATACACCACAGAAAGAAATCCCAGTTTTAATGCTGGAAGATTCAGAATATAATATTTTCATAGAAGTTAATGCAAGACAAATGTTCAAATAAGTAGGACAGACAAAAGCTAGGTAATGTAAGCTTTTAACATTGTTCACTTAAAGCCTGATGATGGCATAACTCCATGTTTATCGTTAGAAACAAAATTTAATGCAACTCTTTCATCACCATCATGTTAAACCACTGAAATAGTATGATTCCCACATACCCTTGGTTTTCAGAAATATTCTAAACATAATCACTTCGTATCCTGAGGGCTGTGGTAGTCCAATTCATGGCTTGAGCTATTCATGTTCTTGTGCAGGTCCCTCTTCTGGAACCTAGGACAGACCTACAACTTGCCTTAAACAAAAGAATATGGCAGAAACGTGCCAGTTCAAAGTCTAAGAATTTAGAAGGCCTGGCAGCTTCTCCTCTTATGTCCTGGAGCCCAGAGCTACCATGTAAGGACTCTAGCTACTCTGTTGGGAGAGGATTTGTGAGAGGTCACATGGAGAAGAAGAGGTCACATGGAGAGGGGCCCTGACACTAGAAAGAGTGGAAAAATCCAGCCATTCAGCCTCCCCACTGAGTGCAGCCCCCAGCCAATCTGTGAGCCAAATGAGGCAAGAGCAGAAGAACCATCCTGCTGAACTCAGCCCAGATTGCAGAACTGCTACCTAATAAAATGGTTAGCAAGTAAACTTTCTCCACGCCTCTACGCTTTGGGTGGCTTGTCATTCGACCATAGGTAACTAAACCAGGTTTCTCAATAATTCACACATAAGCATCTTCTCAGACAAGAAGCATAAAGCGAAGATCCAGAGATCCTCTTTCCCAACCCCCATGGACTCAAAACAACAAATTATAGTGGCAACAATGTTCTGCATTTTCTTGGGCATCTTCCAACATACAATTCCTAAGATTCCTTAGCCTTGAAGTGTAAGAACATGCCACAGTAAAATTATACCTTTAGTTTAAGTTGGGAATCATAAATACAATTTTGAGGTTTTAATTAATGACATAAAATGCCCATCTTTAAACTTTTAATACTTTTAATAAGCCCATAACTGAAAAATTAAATTATAGCATTCTCTTCCATCTACAATATTTTTCCTGATATATGTTTCCTGGTACATTTTAATAGCAAGAGCTCATTTTCATCCTATCTTTCATAAGATTTCACTTCAATAATGAGCAAGATTTGTAGTCATTAGTTTAATTCTGTAGCACTTTAAAATATATTAATAGAATGTTGATAATCTACAAAGCTGGGTGATAATACATGGAGGCTCATTAAACTATTCCCTTTTAAAAAATATATGTTTGAACAATTCCATAATCAGAAGGGAAAAATACTCATAACCCCCATTTGCCTAAGTTAAGTCAAATTTCCTACTATTCAGAGTTCAAAAAAGTTCTAGAAAGTGCAACAGAAAAGAAAAAACTAAAGTTAACGTAATATCCATACTAATTTAACTTATTGAAATAAGATCTCAATATCCTATTTAAAATATGCCCACATATAAAATTTATATACAATACAGTTCTTCCCAAAGGACTTTGAAGTGCTAGAACTGTGGAAGGTAGACTATAATAAATCTTTACAGTGTCTCTGATGGCTTTCAAAGTGGTAGATGCATAAGAGTAGAGTGAGGCATAGAAACGTTTAATTAGCTAGCCTACGGTCATAAAGGAAAGCAGAATGGGGAAATATTCCAAATCGCAGAATTTGAGTTGAAAGTCATCTAGTCAAACCCTTTATCCAATGCTAAAAAAAGGATATATTACCCCTCAAAGTGGACATCCAGCTTCAGCATGAAGAATTCTTTTTGCTTCTTTCTCTTTTTTTGTAAAATCGTGATTAGCAGGGAAAAGGGGGCCTTTAGAGAGAAGCTACTTTCTTAAACATATAAAACGGGAAATACTCATCTCCCCAGTATGGAAAGGGAGAAATAAATGTATCTTACTAAAACAAAATGAATTGTAAAGGGTGGAATGCATTGTCCTTACTTGCTCAAAGAAGTGGTTGAGAGAACAGCTCATGAATGAGCCACATCCTCCACCTCACATTTATTGTAAAAGCTGATGGTAGAGAATTAACTGATTTGTAGAACGAATTGTTCTTTTTTCTCTAAAACAAAAAATGTGAAATGAACTATTTGCAGTAGCAAAGCAGTTGGTTTTCTAATTCCACAAATTCAAACATAAAAGCATTAACTCTTGAAACAAATGTGTATCTTTTTACCTTATATGTTTCATTAACATTTGAAAAAGAAACTCTTACTATTCTCAAAAATTTTAAGGGAAATGAATGATGGCATGGTCTGATATTTTCTGATTCATCTTGGGTGATGGGGCAGGGACTGGGAACAATCCCCCTAATCTATTTGTAGAACAAAAAGTCTTTTACGCTTGTTCTCAAAGCCGCCTGAGATGGAACTGCCAATACGGATAATTTGTTTAGTTATTGAAACAAACTCTTAGTATAAAAGTGCAATGTGTTCCTCTTAATCATGAGTTCAATTTTTCTCCCTACTAAGCACACCCCCATATCTCTTCCCACATACCATGCTCCACATAAAGTTAATGGGAATGCCAATACAAAGAGAGATGTAAAGAGAAGGGTAAGGTCCTAACGAGGTATAAACTGAGTAGTACATACTGCCGATACTCCTTTAAATTACTGTAATTTTTAAAATATGACTTTTATACTTTTCAAATTTGCCAACCAACCTATCAAATTCATTTTCTTTTATGCCTTGTTAACCTGCCTCGGTGGGCGGAAAACATGAAACCTCAGGAAAACTATTAGACCTTTCCACACCTCCGGTCTGTCCTCAGTACTGGAAATAGTACTCTGCCCTCACCTAACTCGCTGTAAGGGCTGAAGTCTCTTGAAAAGGCACATCAAGTTCCAAGCTCAGGGAAAGAGAAATTAATACCAGCCAACCTTCAGCTATCTGCCGTTACATAAGGTGGGAAGAGTATATTGTAAATGTCATAAATCTGCAGATAACCCAATGTGTCATTTCAAACTGTAGTTCAACACTCTCCTATGGGATAGTTCACATAAGAAATTAATAAGCTACCAGCCTCATGGCTTGAAATTCTCCCTGCCCACCTTGTGACAGATATAATAAGAAATAGCAAAGTCATCCACGGGTAAGATGTAGGAGAGAAGAAGAAAAGAAGAAGAATCCTGAATAATCTACAAACTGTATTATCAGCTCCCAAATCAGTGAGTTATACTGTTATTTCAAAAGCACTGTATATATCTTTGGAACTATTATAATTCTGCCGATTTTTTAATAAATTACCTGTATTTTTATTCATTGTCACAGAGCACATCATACAGCTTAAGAAGAGTCCTCTCTCTATGGGAAAAATTTTAATAATTTCAAGTTTCTGATTGGAATTGTTCCTTTATTCTCAGCATCGATTCTGGTTTTCTAGAATGGGAAACTAGCATATATGAATATAAAAGGGCTGTGAAAATTCAGTGCCCAGAGAACATTTCGTGGTTCAAGAATAAAGAGTTAACAGCAATAAATATTATCTTTTAAAAAATTGAATTTAGACGCCAAATTAGAAAATCATTTATTACTGTATGAAATATATTGATCCAACACACACACACACACACGGCTTGAGAGCAAACAAAATGTGAGACGGTAACTTTCATGAAGGAATCAGCACTCTTCATGAACTTGAAAAAAATCCTAATTACCATTTACTTGCTAAAACATTAACTAGTACTTTCTATCAAAAATAACTTTTGGTTAGACTCACCAGACAAAGAATTTTGATGGGTAGTATGCCTAAGCCGTTAATCGTCGTGATCTTGTTCTTGGCCAGACTCAGGTGTGTCAGGCCACTACACAATTCTAGCCCACTGATCTTCTCTATTTCATTGTCTGTGCACCAGGACTATGTTTAAGGAAAATGTCATTAGAAACATTTTGAAGAAAAAAAAATCAGTATCAGACAATCATTAGAAAAATCAGACAACAGCATTAATAAAGCAGTAATACATGCCCAACACAGGATGAACACTAGATCTTGAAATGCAATTTTTCATTATAGAAGTTAATACTGGCACTGCTTAATATTTTTTTAAAGACACAGCTTTTGAGTATGCTCAGTGTCATTTGCATTGATATGTGACTCATTTAATCAATGAGGAAAAACATTTCAGGGTGCCTCGAAGCTGCCTCCTTGGCAGTATTTTTCCTTGGTTCCTTAACGATCTCCATGTGAAACTCATACATTTTCCTACAAGCAGGACTTCTGAATACAGGGTCACTGTGCAGGAAATGGCACCAAATTTTATCATTGTCATAACCAGGGGAACAGCTTGGGAGATGTCATCTGTGGCAAATGGGTGGTAAAGAACCAATACCCTGATAGAGGGAGGAATGGCCTTTTCTGTCTATATTGGCTTCTCTTCTCCCTTTAAAATAAATGAGGCCTAAACTCTGTCTTCATTTCCTTGTGCTGAATTTCTAGTCATTTTAAATTTTAACTTCTGTGTTCCAACTTTATAGTCACCTAAAATTGCAGTTCCCAACATTACCGATTCCATTCCCCTCTCTCTGGTCTCCATTTCTTTGGCAAACTTCGGGGTTTAATATCATTTGCCCACCACAGTGCAGTTTCCCCTCCCAAGTAGATGAAGACACCACAGTTCTCTCGGCCACTTGTAATCTTCAGGGCACCCAATCAATCAGCAAGGTTGACTTTTTTTTAGTGACTAAAACACTAATTATTCCCTTCCTTTCGGTTCACTCTGCTGCCAATTTAATTCAGCTTTAGTATCAATGGGTACCTCTAACATCCATTTCTTCCTGCCTCAAATCATCTAACACACTGTAGTCAGGTTAATTTTTTCAAAATATTGATGGGACATCATGTTTCAATCAAAAAATTCTCACAGGACGAATTCCAAATTCTTCACTGACTTGAAGCAAAGCCTGTTTCTCTAGTTTCGTCTCCATTATAACCCAGTGAGAATTCCCCAATTCCTCCAGGTCAGTCTTCTCAGCAGTTCTGGAATGTACCCACAACTAGCTTACTTAGCAGTGTATCATTTTTTCCTATTGTTTTCCTGCCTTTCCTAAACCCTGCTCATTCTCCAGGACTTAATTTCAAATTCCACTTCTTTAACGTACATTAAACCAACTTAAGTATTCTTTTTGAAAGATAACCTCATATTTTTATTTCTGTTGCTCTTCATCATGTAAGGATGTACAAATGATAGGCTGGGAGAACATATTTGCAACATACATGGTAGATGAAGGATTATTATCTAGAACACATAAAAAACAATTATCTAATTGAGAGAAAAGATAAAGGCAGAACTATCCAATAGAAAATGAGAAAAAAATACATGGAGAAAATTCCCCAAAGAGCAAATCCAAGTGGTTAATGAACATATGAAAGGACTCTGCTTCACCTATAATCAGGAGAATGCAAATCAAGACGCCACTCTTCATCTATCAGTTTAACATTGTGAAGGTTCTGAAGAAGAAATTGTTTCATATTACTGAGGCTTCATTATGTTGGAGCCACTTTGGAAGCAACTTGACAGTGCTTGATTGTGAATTTGTCACAGCAACTTCAATTCTTTTTTTTTTTTAAGATTTTTTATTTATTTATTCATGAGAGACACAGAGAGAGGGAGAGAGGCAGAAACACAGGCAGAGGGAGAAGCAGGCTCCATGCAGGGAGCCCCACGTGGAACTCGATGCCAGGTCTCCAGGATCACGCCCTGCGCTGAAGGTGGTGCTAAACCGCTGAGCCACCTGGGCTGCCCAGCAACTTCAATTCTTGATTCCACTCTGGACTGACCATTTCTTCCTCAAAGCCTTTTCTGGTCAACTTCCAACCCCCTACCTATCTCCTTCCATTAATCATAGAACCAAAGAACTTTTTTAAAGGGGAAAGGAAAGATCATCATGTATCACAAAAACATGTATTATGCCTCGTAATTCTTTGTAGTTCTCCTAACTCTACTAATTACTCATTATCTGACTTCACTTCTCTCTGCTCAGATTTCTCATCGGTAAAGAAGTGAGAATAACAACAAGCTGCCATGAAAACCAAAGTTTGATTCAGAAAAAAAATCATCAGAATGAAGTTCACAAACCATAAAGTACCTCACAATTATAAGGCAAGTATCATTATAAGCACATGAAGGCAAGGAATCACATCTTCCACTTGTTGGCCAACAGCACAAAAATGGAAGATCAAAGGCCAGCATCTATTCTGAAAAGATGTAGGCCAGAGAAAGAGGTAAATTAGGAAACTAGAAGCAATGAGGGGGAAATATTGCCGAATGAAACAGAAATTCCTAATTTTTCTTCACTGGTTCCAGATTTGATCCTCGGGCTGAAGTATAGTTTCATTTGTCATCAAATATGCATTTTCAAATCTACTTTCATAAAGCTTTCTACCAGAATAGCTCTATAAAGAAACATCTATGCTCACAGACACCATCCTCTTTCTGCTTCTGTTTCCTTTGGCCTGTTTAAATAATCATTCTAGGATGAGAATGAAGACCAGGTCCTTGCAGATATGGATTGTAACAAAGGATGCGAAATGTGGGAAACAGAGATTAAACTCTCACACCACTACATATGAAATAAAACGTCCTTAGAGTAGTGATCTTTGGCAAGAAAAATTAGGCAAGGAAAACTTCAAATGGCTATCTGTCTCAATTTAGCAGAGGAAGCAATAGTCTTTAGGTCCTATGTCAGGGCACTAGTGTCCTGGTAGTTCTGCTCCAAGCAAAATGAAGATACTCTACAGGGAAGAGTAAAATAAGTGCCTGTGAGGAGCAGAGTCAGGAAGCATTCCCATGGGAAGGAGGCAAGGGTCAGAAAATAAGATAGGAATCCTGAAACTATCAAGAAATAGTGGGAAGTGAAAAGGAAAGTTTGTTTATTGTGTATACCATAATTTTTCAAGATATCAGAGGCTAACCTCAGTTCTCTTAGTACATCCAGCTTATTCATTAGCTTTGACTAATACAGCAAGTCCTGTTTTATGAAATTAGCACTGCAAGGGCCCAAAGAAGGAAGAACACAGATTCCTCACTGCAGTGGTAGTCCTGGCTTTTGCAGCTACCTCTGCTGTCACTCACAGCACTGGGGCAAAAGCCTGAGGAACTGACTGTGCACCTGTTGCAAAATAAGTTCATTTCAGAAAAATTGTCTATTTTCCAACTCTTCCCTTTAAATTTCAAGGAATTTCAACCACTATTAATTAATCAGGTTCTTGAATGAAGAGTACTTTTCACAGTGGCCGAAATGTTTGTCCCTCTCCCCCAGCCCACCTCCATTCCCCCCCCCCCCAGACACATCATCTGTGACCACCAGCAGTGATGATGGTCAATATGCAAGACTGGTCCATACAGAGCCCTGAGTTCGCAGCCCACTTTCAGTTATACCTTTGTCTCCCTAATCCCTCATTTTCTTATTTCAAGAACCTGCACAATATGTTACTTGTCCTTCCTCTGAACATTCTTCTTTTGTATTCTTTCATATAGGTCTGGGGACATTCCAGTAAGAACAACTAGAATCCGATAAGTCACCAAGCCATTACAATGAATTAGTGTATTACCGGGTTAACCCTCTTAGGTATGTTTTGATTTTCAACGGCCACTAATCAGAAGAAAGAGACTCAAAGAACTCAAAATCATCATACTGCATTCCAGTTCTAAAGTCTTTCATTTCTGTGAATAAATCTTTTAGAGTGGGATTTTAGATGCTCAGAAACTGAGTGAAGGAACCCAAAGGCACATAAGCATAACTTTACAGTGAGGGAAAAGCCCCACAACATATTTTTACATTTTGGTGATGCTGTCAGCTGTTTGCAGAGCTTGACATGAATTATTCACTAGTTCAGTATTCGCTCTTATTCATTTGTCTACAAACATAAAGTATGGTTTGGGTGTATAGAAAAACAGTTACTGAGAAATACACAGGAAATCCATCACCATTTTCTTAGTAGAGAGAACCCCAATGATAGCTTTAATCAAAACCAATCCTGAAAGATCTGTATCACCTTACCAGTGAAAAATGTTCTTCACTATAGTAGTGAATCTCTGAGAAATGAAACACACATACGCTTTAAATGGCTAGGTGATAAAAGGAGTAATTACTCAGTGAATTGCAGCACGGGGAGAACAATGGAATTTAGAGGACTAATCTCAGTTCAACCACTGACCAAATGATCTTGGACAAGTCACTGAGCCTCGCTGAGTCTTAGGCTCCTCCTTCCATAAAAGAATAGTTATTAGCAGTCGATAATCTCTAAAGTCCAATCTGGATTTTAAAAGCCCCTGAATCACTTTTTAAAAACCCCATGATTTTATAATCATGAAACAAGTTCCAATGAGCAATCTGTCACTATTTATAGGTAAACAATACACAGCATCCCTTCTTAAGAAATACATTTACTTATCCTTGACAAAGTTCACCAGCTTGTGATTTAGGATGATTATCAATTAATCATCAGTTATCCACATATGGAATGACAAAATAGCGTAAGATAAACCAAAAAGTTGATTATCTTACAGTAACCAATCCACGTCAAGGCACTGATATAATCTATAATCACAACGTCAAGCATTTTCAGGTGATTGACTTATTTTTATTTTAAATAAGTGCCTTTTGATATTAATAATTACAACTTTATTTAACTATACTTTAAATAAAAGTGCACTTGTTCCCCTCAAATAGAAAAGACATGCTACACCCACTAAAAAAGCTTGAACAAATATAAAAAGCATAAAAAAGGTAACCACCAAACTCCTAAAAAGGTCACACAGAACGACATCAGATCAGGAAAGCATGTCCTGCAAGGTACAACGTGGCAGACTGGCCAGCATAAAACAGAATCTTCAGGTACACACCTCACACCAGCAATATCATCATCACCTGGGAACTTGTTAAAAATGCGAACTCTCAGGTACCTCCCCAGACCTACTCCACCAGAAGTTCTGAGGGCGGAAGCCGCCAAGAGGGTTTTAACAAAGCCCTCCAGGGGATTCTGACACAGCTCAGGTCTGAAGCTTGGTAAAGAACTGTTTTTAAAGAAATTAATAATTTTCAGATTTAGAACGTTTTCAATGAATTCAGGGACAGCATTTGCCCATATGTGGCCTGCTTGTATTTTTTTTTTAATCTAATGAACACTCTTGAAATGACCCCCGCCTCCAGCCCAAGCAGTAGAACATGAGCAGTAACTTACATCTACCTCTGCACATCTCTCCTGTGCATCCCAATGCCTCTCTCTGGGAGATCACCACTATGCTGAATTGTCTACTTCCTCTACCCTTTTCCCTTTGGCTTTATACAAAAATTACATTTAATTTTATGAAGATGCATCCCTACTGCTGCATGGAGAGATCTTTCATCCATTTTCACCACTTATGCTATTATAACATAATTTGTGCTTTCTCTTATCAATGAGCACATGGACTATTTCAATATTTTTACTACGACAGTGTTCCTATGAGCATTCTTATACAAGCCTCCAGATACACGTATGCTAAACTTCCCATATGAAGGAATGAAAGTGCTAGGGCCACAGGAAATTTGGATGTTCAACCTTGCAAGAGTATAAAGTTGCTCTCCAAAGTGGTTGAACTGATTTCGTGGCCAAAGGAAGAAAAAAGGAGATCCTCTTGACCTACATATTCTTCAACACTTGGCATTTTTAGATTTCTTGTATTTTGTCAATAGATATAATATAGTATCTCATGTGGTCTTGGGTGTTTCTCTGAATACAAATGAGGCTGACATCTAGTCATACGTACATTAGCCTTATCAGACTCATTTTCTATAAAACTCTTTTTATACATCTTCTCCCATCTTCCTGAGAACATGGGATATACTTCTCTTTAGTGAGGTCTTTAATGCTCTTTGATAAAGTTCTATTAGATTTCTCTCATAGGCCTTATTCATGATTAATAAGATTTTTATTGCTCTTATAAATGGGGTCTCTGTTTTAAGTGGTGCTAATTGCTTATGATGTAGAAAAACGCAATAGATTTGTTTATTGAAGTCGTATCCAACTACTTTGTTGAACTCTCAAAACTATTTCTAGTAGTTTATTGCAACTTATTTTTGATATTCTCTATGGACAATCATATTGTTTGCAAAAAATGACTTGTCGGGGGATCTCTGGGTGGCTCAGCAGTTTGGCGCCTGCCTTCGGCCCAGGGCGTGATCTTGGAGTCCCGGGATCGAGTCCCGCATCAGGCTCCCTGCATGGAGTCTGCTTCTCCCTCTGCCTCTCTGTCTCTCATGTAAATAAATAAAATATTTTTTTTAAAAAAAATGACTTATCTTCTCTTTCCATCTTCATTCTTTCAGTTTTTTTTCTCTTGCTTTATAGTGCTAAACTTCCAAAACAATGATGGATACAAGAGGCAATTGTAGAGATCTCGATCTTGTTCCCAATTTTAAAGAACGCTTAGAGCATGTCCCCAATTAGGATAAAGTCTGCTTCAAATATTTTTATAGACATTATCAAGTTGCAGAAATCCCCTATTTACTAGCTTATTAATTTTATTATAAATTAGATTGTATTTTTATCTATTGAGTTTCTAGACCTACAGCTCATATTTCTCTTAATCTGTTAACATAATGACTTGGATTGGCTCCCTAATATTAAACTATCCTTACATTCACGAGGTAGGCAAACTTGGTCATGGGGTATTTTTTTTAAAACACTCTCAGATTCCATTTGCCAATATTTGTTTAGGATTTTTATACCTAGATCACGAGTGAAAGGAGTATTATTTTCTCTTATTGTTCCCTGTCTGCTTTTCGATAGCAATGTAATCTCATTAGAATGGATAGTGAATATGCCTTCTACTCTTAATCTTTGAAATCTTTGAAAGAATTTGTTCATTACTGGAAGATCTGTTCTTAACAGCTTGGATATGGTGGTTTTTTTTTATATGAGGATTTTAATTTAATTAACTTTAATTTATATGAACTGTTTTTATAATTACAGGACTACTCAGGGTTTCAATTTCCAAGTTAGCATTTTGGTGTATATTTCTCTAGGAATTTATCCATTTCATCTAAGTTTTCAAATGTACTGGCATAAAAAAAGTTGTTTAAAAATTCTATTACAAAGCTTTGCAGTCTTTTCAAAAATCTAATCTAATAACATAATTATACACAATATGTATGACACGCTTGAACAGAACAAAAGAAGCATATTCAGTACTGTTTAAAAACCAGCCTGCTATCTTCTCAAAATGGTAAGCTAAGAAGTTTATTTCATTAATAGTTTATGAAGGGTAGCTTGTTTGGGCAACTTTCATTTGCATTTTAAAAAACACGGGCGAGGAACAATGCCATGTTACATTTTAATTATGTGTCCATATTCCCAATTTCAATTGGTTCTGATGTAATAATCATAGCTTTTTATACTTTGGAGATAAGATTGAGTTGCTACACCTAAAGTCAGGTTAAAAAAAAAACAACTACCACCACCACCTAATTCCTTTCTTCATGATATCTGACATTTACAGAGTCATAACAGATCTTTACATGGGAAAATAAATTCACATAGAAATTAAGTCTTCCGTGAAGAAATGCTCTAAACTGCACCCTCTGTTTTGAGTCCAAAATACTGTTGAGTGGTTGTCTCTGGCAGTTCCATGCTGCATATACAAGAATAGTTTTCAGGACCCCTGGGTGGCTCAAGTGGTTCAGCATCTGCCTTCAGCTTGGGTCATGATCCCAGGGTCCTAGGATCGAATCCTGCATCAGGCTCCACACAGGGAGCCTGCTTTTCCCTCTGCTTCTGCCTCTATCTCTGCTTCTGTGTCTCTCATGAATAAATAAAATCTTAAAGAAAAAAAAAAGTTTTCTGGAAGACAGAGCCTAGACTGCCACATGACTGCCCTCCTTCAGGGTACACTCTGAAGATTAGATAGAGCTCTGGACACTCTCTCCCTTCTGGCTAGTAGTTTTGGGGGCAGCTGACTTCTTGGCCAGTGCCTCTCAAGCTTTAACCTGTACTCCTCTTTCATCACCTGGGGTCTTGTTAGAAATGCAGGTTTCCATTTCAAAGGTCTGAGGTAGTGTCCCAGAGCCCGCGTTTCTAAGAAGTTCCAGGCAATGTTGATATTGATGCCATTAATCTTCCTTGAGCAGGGTTCTTCCCTGTGGCCTGAGTGGATTTCTGAGCCAGGTGGCTTCTGGGCGGTCAGCCTCTACCCCCTTGCAAATTCAGTATGTAGGACTGTCAAGCATAAGTGAAAGTTCAGTGGACAAGTGCTACTAATGAGAACTACTTTCAGTTTGCAGTCGAAACAGGTTCATTTTGACCATTTTCTCATTAGCCTACATTTAGGAGAACTTGCTCGCTTCAAGGGCACCCTCTAAATGTGCACTAACTGTAAATTTTCACACACGGGTCCTTAAGAGCGTGGCACTAGGTTCTAAGTTTTCCATCATACGTGAAAAAAGTTTTTTTCCAATAAAATAGGTCTTCAAGAAAATATACCTTCTGTTCTCCCCATATCTCAGCCTCATTACAAATGCAGTGTTCTAACTGCTGCCCCGTCCCTGGAGTGAGGCACCCAAGAGCAATCAATGCATTCCCCACTATGCCCCGAAAAAAAAAAAAATCCCCAGGTGTGTAGAAAGATACTGAGAAAGAGAAGACGCTGCTCCCTCATCATCCAGAAAACATCAGTCTCTGATGTAAAGAGAGTCAAGCTCATTAAAGTCACAGATCCCCGATTAACCCTTTCAGCTCTCGAAGCTGGAGTGTGCCTACTTCAAAGTAGAAGCTCTGTTTCCATGGGAGCCTGACTCATGCAATGGATATGTTCCTAAAGATGGTTGTTCATCATAAATTGGTTTTGCTTTTTTAAAAAAAACAATGAAAGTATATCTTAAAGACACCAAAGAAGCTTGCTCTTTAAAGCAAACTTACTGTAAGTTCTTTTGTAAAATTAAAAAAAAAAATTACTTCTCTTCCTTTTGGTCATATCTGGATTTCCAGATACTGAATTTATATAAAATAGAACACAAGTTTACATAAATTTGAAGAAAACCGTCAATTAACACAGAACGTATCTGGTTCCGGAGTTAAAAATAAGCCTATCAGAAGAATGACTGTCTAATGTAGCTTTTCAGGTGTAAGATACTCTTGGCAAGCTCTGACGTACAATCTTACTCCTTGATAAATAAAATATCTTTCTTCATTTTGTGAATAGCAGTTCTTAATCATTCAAATGAGTCACATATCTCCAGTAAATTGCTTATCTGGTACCACTCCATATCATCCAAGCACACATTTATTAATGGGCCTATTATCCAAATTTCCCCTTTAATCATTCAAAGGATACTGTCCAAAATTAGTTTAGTGAGAGCCTGGTATGCCGACAAATCACGCATTTCAGAAATTTGATTGTAGGAAAAATCCACCTTCTGGTGAGAAAAAGGGAACAAGATGTCAAAGTTTATTTTTTGTTCACTTAACGACAGTAATTCATCGCACAAGGCGGTCTTTCTGGATGTGCGGTTAGAATTCATGACTGAAAATATGCCAAGGCTAACACAGCTATCCATATCTGTTCGTTTTCTGCCTGCACCCTTGTGTGTTCAGTCTGAGGGGTACCAGGGAGGAGACTCCTGCCCTGCAGCTGCTGCGAACATCCCCACCACCTAGGCTTTCCATGCTGCCCCTCTCTCCATTTCCAGCAACCACTTCAGGCCTTCTTCACCTTCCTTCAGGATTTACCTCATTTCGGCTCTTACCACCACTTCTTTCATTTCCTCTCCTGCCCGGTAAGTGCATTCACCTAGTTTACGCACCCGGTCTTTTCTCTGCCTTTTCTACTCTCTCTCAATATATTCTCCTGTGTCACCTTCCAAGTGCCAGAAAAATCTTTCTTATTCATCCCTCAGGCTACATCTCAACCACTTAACACCCTTTCTCAAGATGGGCTATATTAGGAAAGCATTTTCAGCAACATCAGTTGTTCCCATTCAAAAATAGGAGACAAAAGAAAACGTGAAATAACTTTAAATATTCACCCATGAGCAAAAGATGAAGGATTTAAAAAAAAAACTTTTTTAAAAACTGCATTGATAACTCACTAGGCACATGTAATAATTTTTTGGAAAACTATCAAATAATTAATGAGCACTAGTCTAATTTCCTTGTGCCCTTTAAAAGAGTGATTTCACTCCCAGAAATGTACTGAGAATATTTTATCAATGTATTACATACTAAAAACTCTAAATGCCGAATACTAAAAAACATGTTGGAAACTCAAGTGGCAAGAGAAGAAAACGGATTAAGGCGGTCACAATACAGCAACAGGACCACAATATCAGTAAAACACATGTGTGTGAACCCCATGAAGAAATAGTCAAGCGCAAACAAAATATCAGGAGTATAAAAGGACCGAACAGTTGGAATACAAAATTTGATGCAGTATATAAACTGCAGCTGGTCAAATGCAGACCATGGCTGAAACAAGAAGTCAGCTTAGCATGATGGAATGAAGTATTATATTTGCTTTTGTCTTCTACGTGATAATGATGGACTAGCAGTAAACATAATGATCTAGGTGTAACTAGAATTGACACTTTTTCATCAACACTTCTCGTGCTTGCGCCTCTCATGTCTGCTCCTGTCCAACTGTACCCTCCCCTGGGCACCTGTGATACCAGCTTTGTTGAGAGGCCCCAAAGTGTTCTGACCGAGCTCTGACACCCCCCCCCCCCACCGAGGGTTCCACTGGACCTGAAGTCTTGCAGGAAGTCCCATCCATCAAATGAACCTGCTGAACCTGCTGTACCTATTAAGAGCAAGAGTATTCTGGGAAATGGAATGTGTGAGAACAAGCCCCTGTGCTTTAGGAAATGTACACCTTCTGTGGCTGGTGGCACCAAGCTCAAAGAGGAGTGACCAGGAAGCAGAGCTTTTCAAGAGGGTGGGATGCCTGGGTTACTGGGAAGAGACACAGGCTCTGGGTGGCCGACTTCGGGTTCCATCTCAGCCCTGCTGCCTCTTAGCAAAGATGAAATACGTTATTTGCCCTTTCTGTACCCTGGAGTCCTCATGTGTGAAATGAGACCATCCCAGCTGCCTCCCAACTTTAATGGGAGGATGAAATAAGACAACACACTGAATACACAGGTAGCCTGGGTCACCACTCCCAGGCTCACGCAGAGCTCACACAAGCTCGGAACACATCAGCAGGGCGGTCTGGCACTTTGCAGGGACTTCTCTACAGTCCCCGATATATTTGCTCTTAACTTGCTGGCAGCTCAGAACCTTAAAGACAGGGCACCTGGCAAGTTTTTGTGCATTGGGGAAGTCTTCTTGGGGGAGCAGGACGGGAGGGTGAATGGAAGAAATTCCAAGGAAGTTTTTCCCAGGGAAGGGGTCACACAGTTGCCAGAACTCATTTCCCTGGGGCTGAGGACAAAGCAGAAGGGGATGGCAACTTGGGGAGAAATGAAACAGCTATGCAAATACAATTCCTGATAACCTGGAGACCAGGTGGCCCCACACACAGTACAAATAGGCACCTCATGTGGCTTATTTGGACAAAGGAATGTCACCTTGGCAATAACTATAATTTCAAAGAGGGGGGAAAAAAAGCACTACTGATAAAAATGGGGTGAACAGAAGAAAAATGAAGAGCATTTTGCTGGCAGTATGGCTGATGTCAGATTCTTGATTTCAAAGAAACTCTCATATTTGTGCAAGCCCCAGTAGAATACTTGGGATCTAAGTTAATTTAGTTTGTAAATAAAACAAAATAGATAATCAAAAGCAATAAGTGACCTCCAATCCTAAAAATATTTAATAAAATACATTAGTTCACTAAAACACTAATCCCAAGCTCATAGCAATGTCTTCCAAATTTGTCAGCACATTAGAGCCACTTGGGGGTCTTTTAAAAATTCCATGCCCAGGCTTTACCTTGGACCACTGAATCAGATTCTCTCGGCAGTGAGATTCAGACATGAGTAATTTTTAAAAGTCCCCAGGTGATTGCAATGTGCAGAAGAGTCTGGGAACCACGAACCTATAACCTCTGTGCTTCAGTGTGGCCCATGGACCACCAGCAGTGGCATCACCTGGGAGGCTGTTAGAAACCAGTCTCAGGCCTGACTTCAGACCTGCTGGGTCAGAATCCCTAGTTTCACAAGAACACCAGGTGATCTGTATCCACATTAAATAAAGCACGAGACACAATCTAGAGCCAGCTGCTCCATCAACTACTGTTCAGAGTTTCATCCTGTGTTTCAGAGAAGCAAGATCTGAAATCATTGTCGGAAAAAGAAAAGTAAAGGTCGGATAAATAAAAAGGGCAAAATTTGAGCGCCCAAAGAAATCTTTACACGTTTTCCAGGTATACAATTGTTGTACTATACAAAAAATATACAAATAATGACTAGTAGTTAGCTGTGGGAGACAGACAGAAGTTAGTTCTTTAGCCTGAACACTATGTTTAGCAAAGCCTCCTACAAAGATTATCTGCAGATGGACCATCTCCCTTTATCATAAATAAGTGATACCCAAACCCCTTTATATTTCATTCCAGACATTTATACTATTTACGCGTATATCTTAGGCTGCCCAAATTCTCAATCTGAGCGCTGTTCTGCTTGTTAACATACTTTGCAGGCCAGTTCACATGAGTAACAAATGTATTGATCAAGTCTACCTTGAGATTCTTGGGTGGCTTGAAATTGAAGAACGTCGTCAGCTTATTGTGCGAAGCATTAAGTTCTAGAAGGTAAGGCATATAACTCACACAAGACAAATCTGGAGGGAAGAGAAACAAATACAAAATAAGGTAAGCCAACATCCATCATCAAAATTAGACTAGGTCATTAGAAACAGCTTACGTTACATCAGGGCATTGTCTCAGTACACCAGTTGCAAGCACTTCTGAATTATTCGAAGCAAGTGAAATGAATAAAAATGAGAATGCGTGAAACACACTGAGTGTAGAAAAACTGCCCATAAGCTCCTAATCTGACCTTCTTCCCCAGGACCTCCCCTCTTCTCCCAACTCTTCAAGTGACTGGTGTTCCCTCCGGGTCCCAGCTCCCTCTCCCATGAGCTACCAGCCCGAATGCATCAGAAAGGACCAGCCTTGGAGGAAGGGACGAGAAATGAAAGCCTTCGATGATGCCCTTGATAATTAGCCCTTGAATGACTGAAGTTTGTTATAAATTAAACGTTGCCTCAGTTGCACTTGATCCTAAATCTCATTAATCATTTGAAGTGATTTAAATTATTGCTATTATTTTCCTTTGGCTCTGGGCTGGTTCCAAAGTATGGCTAAGTTTTGCACTTTACCCCAAGCAAATATTCTGAACCTGGAGTATGAAGTGAAAGGTGACAGGGCTCTAATGACAGTATGGATAAAACAAAAAAAAAATGTTGTAGTACTGTGTTGCCTTTCTCTGCCCCTTTACGGCAGAGGCATAGGGGCAGCAGGATCAATTAGACTCCGGGAGAATCACCGGAAGACGATGTTTCTAGCAGGAACTCCTGCCTCCACCTCCAAACAGTAATAATAATAATAATCATACTGTCTCCCTCTCTTTCCATTCCAGGTCATTTAACCAGCTATTACGGCCTCCCAGAGGAAGGCTAGTGGGAGAAGGGAGCCACCACAGCCAAAGAACCAAGGGGACCACTTCAACCTGTCGCCAGGTAGCAGATACACCCCAGCCTCAGAGAAGGGAGCCAGGCCAGCATCTGGGCTCCTGTCCTGGCACCATGAGCCACCCCCCTCAGCCCAGCTCCTGCCCCTACATCTTTCTTTCTCAAGATTACACCAAATTCTACATCATTTCTCTGGTCTAGATCACACCCTTCTTTCGCTTGTCTTTATAGAATTGTTCTAGGACAGACAATACTCTGGGACAGGAACACTTTGGTGGGAATTAATGAGCGAATCAAGGAAGGCTGCCCAGAAAAGGAAACCTAAGAAGAAACTGTCATTACAGTCTTGCCTATTCATCCTTTCTGAGCTCAGCTCCATGTCTCTATCAGTCAGTCAACTATTAACATCCACTGACCCCCATACCTCCTCGGAGCTCACCTTTCTGTGGACAGGTAAGTGCTGGACCATGGAGCTATCTTGAAGCAGACGCAGCTGCTAGCAGGGACATAGAACTAAGGAAATGGCAAGTACAGCCCAACTTTGTAGATGACCAATCCTTTCAACTCACTGGGACAGCACAAAATGCATGGTCTAGGGTGCTGGGCTTCCACCTCCTGCAGGCCCTTGATCCCTACTTGGTGCAGTGACCTCTGTGTCCACCAGATGGCAGGAGCTCCTTGCGACTACAAAGGTGTTCTCAAAGTGTGGTCCAGGATAGGGAACATCTGCTTCCCAGGGGACCTAATTAGAAATGCGAATTCTCTGGTCCCACCCCAGAGCCACAGAATCAGAACCTGAGGGTGGGGCAAGCCAGCTGTGTTTTCACAGGACCCCCAGGTGATTCCGATGCAAGTTGAAATCTGGTCAACATCAGAACATTAATAAAGTTGTTCTCATGAAAAGAAAAATAACCGTGCCTTACACCCAGTAGGTTCTCAAGCACTCAATGAGCTAAGAAAATGAGCCCTAAAAAGATTAAAGATGACAGATCTGAGGAAGAAAGCTCCATTCGCAACTGTGGAGTTCCAGCTCAAGTTAGCAGGGCGTGAAGCCACCACCTCTCTTTGCTCTTCTCCAGTACTAAGCATTGTTGCAGCCTCCCATCTCATTGCAATTCCTTTTCCCAGGAAGGAAACCAACTTGGGAGTGGTGAGGTGCAGGGCAGCTCCTGCCAGTAACACTACAACACTCTGATGATGATGGGATATTTGAGATTTGCTTTAAAATAACCCTGGGGTGTGGGTGGTGGTGCCGGGGTGACTCATTTGTTTAAGTGTCTGCCTTCAGCTTGAGTCATGATCCCAGGGTCCTCGGATTGAGCCCCCAGTCAGGCTCTCTGCTTAGCAAGGAGTCTACTTCTCCCTCTGCCTCTGCCACCCCTCACTCCTGCTAGTGCTCCCTCCCCCATCCCTCCCTCCCTCCCTCCCTCCCTCTCTCTCTCTCTCTCAAATAAATAAATCTTTAAAATAACCCTGGAGGAGACAGAACTTAAAGACTCCTAACTCTGAGAAACGAACTAGGGGTGATGGAAGGGGAGGAGGGCGGGGGGTGGGGGTGAATGGGTGACGGGCACTGATGGGGGGCACTTGACGGGATGAGCACTGGGTGTTATTCTGTATGTTGGTAAATTGAACACCAATAAAAATAAATTTATTATTAAAAAAAATAAAAATAAAATAAAATAACCCTGGAGAAGGTGGCCAGGGAGTATAGTTTGAAACCAGATGGGCTATGGGCTGATAAATATTGAACCTGAATCTCCATTACACTAGTTTCTCATGCATATGTTATTTTCAATTTTTAAAAAAATGTATAAAACTAGAAAAAAATAACTCACAAACAGTAGCATTAGAGGAATAAACTATGCTGGAATATTTCTTGGTCACTGAGAAACAAACCTGGTTTTTAATTATCACTCCTAGGAGGGGAAGAAATCAGAAACAAGCCAGAGAAAACGGTCTCAGCAACATCTAACTATCATAAAAAAAGACTAAAGAACCGAGTGGAAAGAGGATCAGATCAGCAAAGAAAGCAGGTTGGAAATAACAACTGCTGATTTACCTCCAAGTCTAAAGAAAAGAAATTTGACACCTTAACTTCAAATAAGATCAGAAAATTAGGAACAGGAACCAAGTTTCGAAGAAAATGTGACGAATTTCATTAAATGTGAGCAAGATGTCACAACAGACAAGCTGCAGAGAACTACAAATGGTGGAGGTCAAAGAATCACTACATGTATAGAGACAGCGAAAGAGAGGAAAAAACAAATGTGTGAATCCCTGGTGCTCAAGGAAGAAGCAGCCGGCCAGAATTAAAATGTAGACGCAAAATAAAGAATCCATTAAAGGAAAAAGGGGGGGGGGGCAGGGACAGGTCTAATTCATCTGTACTGAATAAACTAATAGTGGGAAAGACAAGGGAATCATCAAATATTCAGGAAGAATTAAAGAAGTAATGAACCATCTCTTACAAGGAAAAAACAAAGCAAACATTTCACGGGATACTCTTCATCACTGAGTACATTTTAACCATAGTGTAATGTTGTGTGTTTGCTGACCGGTATCTCTTCCTTTACTCATCACTTGTGGTGACATTTTTTTTTTTTGTACATGCAAAATAGAGCATCAATATGTAAATGGATCTGCAATAGCACTTATATCAAGTTTTGTAGTATTAATATATTACATACTGCAAAGCTCAAATTTCAAAAGAACTGAATGATCCATCAATCTATTAGAATGAAAATTACATACCTTCAATTTTATTGACTGAAAGATCCAACTTCTGTAGGTGAACATATTCACAGAGAATGCTAATGTCAATTAAGTCACAATTCTGAGAAAATAAAAGGTAAAAAGATTTAATGTTGCTTTAACAGGTTAGTACTCAGCTGTCTCCGGACACCTACAAAAATAATAGTGGACAGAAAGAAATCCAGAATTTCTGGAGATGTAGTAAGGATAGTATAGTATACTTATAGTATACCATACTTACAATAAAAGCATAGTAGTTATAGCAAAAGTATACTTACTTACGGTAAAAGTTGAATAGTTAAGTGAGAGAATTAGATCTGAAGCCTACTACTAACAGGATCTCAAAGCAGACGACAAACCCATCTTAAAAGTGCATTTGTCTGAAGAAGAAAATTAGCTTGGAAAATTAGTAATATTAGCAAGAACAAATACAACATGAAAAGGCAAATTAAACCAGTGTCTTGTAGACCTTTAGAGCGGAGTTTTATTATTAAAGAGAAAAAAGAAAAACTCCACATAATAGCAGTGAGGCCAAAGCCTTTCTCTAATAGAAAAGGCAGATGCCTAGAATTTAAATGAAACGCTAAAGAGATCTCACGCGTCATCAGATCATTAATGACACTGTCACAGTCCTATTCAAAGCTCCTTCACGGTGATCTCATCTGATCAAATAAAACTGAGATCTGTAGGGCAGACTGTTCCCAATTTGGAGATGAGGAATATGAGGGACGGAGAAGGATGTAAATGATCTAAAATCACACAGCAAATTAGCAACAGACAAGCAGATCCAAGTCTCCTGAATCCTTCTCCAAGATTCTTTCTATGAAATCTTGCCTCTAGAGAACTTTAGGATGCGTTGGAGGGGAATTTGGTCCCTTGGGACAGATTCTTATCACTGGTTTATGTTGCAATGTCAGAATCAGAAAAAGCCAGCCAAGGAAGTACCATGATAAGCAAGTTCTCAAATATAATGATAAAAATGTTTAATGAAGGCCACAAGAATAGTGTGATAAATATGAAAGAATATCTATCACGTAAAAGGCATTGTGCATGATGAGAAATACAACATAATGATGGGGGAGAACTGTACTGTGCCCTTAAGAAACTAATGATTTTGATAGGAAAGAGGGTATATACTTAAGTAATAAAAGGTAAAAAAAAAAAAAAATAACATGTAACATAAAAGAGTGAAAAAAAAAAAATCACCAAACCAGGCAACCCTAAGAAAGTCTATTCAGTAGTACAGGTTATAAAGGCAAAGTAATTCAACATGTAAGAGCTCAAATGCAAGGAGGTCAGGGACAAAGTAAGTTAAACATCAGTACACCTAGCTGAAATAAGATTTAAAGGATTTTTTTTTGGCAGATCAATTTAAGGCATAGCACTACATACATAAGTAGAATATTGATTGAAGTGGACTTGTGTGGGGATGTACTAGATGCTGGAATTATCTACCATTCCAATGCCTAACATAGGGCAATGCACACAGGATGCTCCCGAAATTTACTGCTTAAATGGCTGAGTCACCCATAAAATGTTAAAAAGTGACAATGGGAAAAGATTACAGCCTTAATAATGCTGTCCTCAAAGGATATGCCATGAAACCAGAACAGGTGAAAAGAGCTTAACATTTCTTGGATAGTTGACTAGTTCAAATCCAAGATGGAACAAGATTATGAGTTGTATATGCTTTGCTTCCTGTGAATTATATAAACTTTAGTCAAATTACAGTACACAAACAAAATTTCAGTGTGTTCTTACCTATGTATCTGCATTTACTGTGTGGATCTCCAAGGAATATTTAATACTTTACAATATAAGGAAGCATAAAGGAGTTAAATTATTTTTCTCAGACTATAGAGAAACAAAAGGAAGAAAGAATCTGAAATACAATGAGTACTTTGCTCTTACAGCTCCTCTTAGGATAAAAGTGAAGCCAAGATTATGTGTTAGTATTGATATATTGAAAATTGATGAATAACAGCATGTTTTTTCTTTAATAATTGGTATCTTTTGGAAAGTGAACAATGGCCCAAAGCTACTTATTTCTTGACATACTTGGTGGAGGTTGGGGGGTGGGGTGGGAGTCAATACCAATGTACTTTTTTCCCTTGGATTTAGATATTAACTTTAGTCCTGGCACTGATCAGAGAGAAAATTCTTAAAGAATTCTTAGAGACTCTGGGTTTCACAGAGTCAAATTCAACTTCTGGAAAGAAAGCATTGATTACTATAATATAGACTACTTAAGATGAAAGACACAGACTGAAGGGAATGAAAACAAAGGAATTCGGAGGCTGGTAAGGCCTGTCCAGGTCTCTTTGATGCCTCGCATTATGTAAATATCTCTCATCACCAGTCTCCATCGAATGAAAGACTAAGATCTGGGGCCACCACAAAAGTAGGAATACCAGAAAAAATAGATATGGTCCAACCAGCATCAAGATGGAGCTAGTCAGCTCATGGTGATCTTGTCATACTCACTGATAAAACTAGATTGAGGTAGACCTGCTCAGTCCCAGAGCCTGAGCGCCCCAACTGGTGAAGGGCATTGGCCACGACCTCCTCTCTCAGGACCCCATCAAATTCCTCCTGCAAAAAAAAAAAAAAAAAAAAAGAAAAGAAAAGACAAAACAACAGAGAGGTGGACAAACGACTTCTATTAGAAGAAAAACAGTCCAGGGGTGCCTGGGTGGCTCAGTTGGTTAAGTGTTGACTCTTGATTTTGGCTCCGGTCATGATCTCGGGATTATGAGCTCAAGCCCCACATCAGGATCCACACTCAGCGGGGAGGGAGTCTCCTTGAGATTCTCTCTCCTTCTTTCTGCCCCTCCCTCTACTCATGCTCACATGCACATGCTCTCTCTCAAATAAATAAATAAATCTCTTTTAAAAAATAACAGTCTGGGATCCCTGGGTGGCACAGCGGTTTGGCGCCTGCCTTTGGCCCAGGGTGCAATCCTGGAGACCCGGGATCGAATCCCATATCGGGCTCCCGGTGCATGAAGCCTGCTTCTCCCTCTGCCTGTGTCTCTGCCTCTCTCTCTCTCTCTGTGACTATCATAAAATAAAAATAAAATTAAAAAAAAAATAACAGTCTACCTCACAGCACTAACTTACATACTCAGGGGCTGAGCCCTTCAGAATTTTTTAGCCCTAAGGAAAATACTGTGTTGAGGACCCAAACATAGGACATATAATGAAATATCCATCAAATCAGTGTTTTTATTGCCACTGAATTTTCAGGTGGTCACTTGTATCAGCTATTCATAGTGAAGCCAACACAATGGTAATGGACGCATCACCATTAGTGGTGATAGCTACACTGACTGAGTGCGTCTCTGTCCTAAGCACTGAGAGCTCTCAATGATCAACTCACTGAATCCTCCTGACAATCCTGAGGTAGGTACTGTCCAGTCCATTTTATAGATGAAGAAACTAGGCTTACGGGGGTTAACTCTCCTGAAACCACATAGCCACTATATGATAGAGCCAGAATACAAACTTCAATCTGTCTGACTCCAGGGCAGTTCTAACCACTCTTAGACTACTGGCCTCCACCCCAAAGGATGGTTATATCCAAATTAAGGCAATTACTTTGCTACATGTGGTATTCTTGTGGGAGAGGATGGGAGGGGGGGCAGGTTTTCAGTTTGCTTTGTGTTGACTAATTCTACTGGATTCATACAATTTACAAGATTTATTAAAAGGGCCATAGTCACTGCCATAAGGAGGTTGGCCCTTGGTCTGTAGGGCATCCTAAGCCAGGAATGAGTCAACATGCCCCTTCCCCAGAAATAACCAACAGAAGAGACAGCAGGTAGGTCGGTGTTATGTCTGTATTGCCTTTAACTCTAGAATGACCAACACATTACCAAAAACATCAGCTGAGGACACAAAATCCAGTAGTCCCAGCAGTCCCACCAATGTAACTAACCATGACTAACATGTGGACAATGATGGCAAAATATTCTTTCCAGTTCTTTATTAATTCAGGAGCTAACAATGCTGCTCAGGCTACTGGTACTGAGGCTGTAAGTATATAGGTTCGTGCTACTAGAAAGAGTTTCTCTGTGCTATGCCTCCTGCCCCTGCCTCGGCCCCTCATCATTTCTACCAGCCCAGGGAAGCAAATCTCACTCAAATGGAGATAGTGCACAGGCTGTGGGGCTGCACAGACCTGTTTTGTTTTTTTTTCCCCACACACACACCTGGTTTAAACCCTAGATCTACCATTTTGAGTTAACGACTTTGGGGAGATAAAGTTTTCTCTAAGCCTCATATTCCTCATCTGTAAATAGGAAATATTCTTCTTATTATCTTATTAATATTATCTTCTCTTAATGATTTAGGGAGAATGAAAACAAAAGGTATATTAAAGTTCTTAGTGCCTTGTCTAAAACTATAGCAAGTGTAAAGCCAATAAATGACAGTTGTTTCCACTAATTGATGAAGTTGGAAATTCCACACCTTAAGGTTTCATTCTTCCATACACGACAACCTATTTACAAATGGAGGAAAGACACTCATTTATTTAAGTGCCAACTTCTTGTATAAGGCCTGGGAAGGATCAGAGGTGCAAATGCCTCCTTCCCTCCAAAACTTTCCATCTAAACCTCTGAAGTTTACTTCACCCACCCCCTCTATTTCTATGAGAAGATGTTGCACCCCTGACCAATAGTAGGTAAATGTCGGTGTTTCAGCATAGCCACTGATACAGAGACGGGCCACGCCCGTCAGCACTTTCCCAGATCCCCAAGGTAAGCCTCCCCATGATGACCCCCTCTCACCTCCGCTGAAGTTCTAGCCACTTATCAGTATCATGCTTTTCCTTTCTGATCTTCAGTCATTTTCAAACCTTTACAAGCCCTACTTGATCTTGGGTGGCTTCAGAGCCTAAGGATGGCCAGTCAATTCCCCTACCACTCCCAACCACATGCACATAGACATGTTTCTTTCTCAACTCCAGACACTTGAAGTTAATCTCTACTCAGCTTCAGCCACTGGCTCCCATGGCCTTGCCCTGGACCGAGTCATCATGCTCAACTGTTCCACCTTAGAAACCTCAGAACCTAGTATTCTCTGTGATCCTACAACCTTTCCAACCACTATCCACCTATTCTGTGATGACAACAAAATCCCCAGTCTATTCATCCTTCCCTTTCTCAGAGTCTGTCTCCTCCCACTTCCTTCCCTACTTGGGATCCCCTGAGCCATTTTAATGTCTACTTCATCCCCTGACTCAAACGACCAACAGACACCCCTACCTGAATCAAGTTCACCAACAACCACTGCGCTGAGGCAGGGATTGTGTCATGCTAACCATTCATTTAGGATAAAAATCTTTATAGCATGCCAGGCACATGCCAGCCAGTATGTGAGGGCTCGGTGGACAGAATCATGAATAAGACATGGTGCCTGTCCTTAAAAGATTTACAGTTCAATCTGGGAGACAGACAAGTACACAAGCAATTTCAGTAGTTTGATAAATATTGTAAAACAAGTAGCAGGGTGCTTTGACTATAAGCAGGGCATCCATTTTATGCCAGTTCTAGAGGGGATTAGGAGGTTAGCAAAGGCTTGCTGGGGGGGAAAGAAACCAAGCTGAAACCCAAGTAACTGCATTACTCTGGCAAAGGAGAAGGGCAGGAAAAGAGGACCAAGAAGCGCACTGCAGGCAAAAGGGCAACGTGTACAAAATTCCAAAGGCAAAGGTGAGCATAGCCCACCGGGGAAAGCAGAGTTATAACTGCTGAAGCATAAAGTCAGAGAGGGGATCCGAAGCCTGGTGTGCGATAGGTGCTCAAACACGGCTGAAAGAATTCAAACTGCTCCTGCCCTTGAGCAACTGATGGGCTGGGGGAGGCCCCACCACCACCCATGCTAGTACCTTTCCAGAGTCAACTCTGAGCTGGGCCTGGTGGTGTTCCAGGGCCTCGTTCTGTACCGCCTTTCAGTGCCCCCCTCTTGGCTACCACATCCTCATCGTCTCCTCCAGCCTCCAACTCCTTCATCCTCACTCTCAGCAGATGCTTTGCTCCTGCACTTCCGAGGCAAAGCAGAAGCCATCAGACATTCACCTCCTCAGCCTGCTGCACCAGTCCGTCCTCGTTGCCCTTCAATCGGGTCTCCGAGGCGGACTACTTCTTTTCCACGCTCAGGGCCCCTGCTCGGGGACCATCCCTCCTGCCCTCTTTGCCTGGGATTTCAACCAGTCCCTCCCCGCCGTCATCCTGCACCCCGCCAGTGCCCCAGCTGTGCAGGGCCATGGGTCTCTTCATTTCCTCAGTCCCACGTGTTCCTTTAGCTACAGCTAGTTGCCCTGGAGAACCAAGCTACTGCAGAGTTGCTTTTCCATCCTTTAGTGCCCCCTTGCTCACCTCCCATCCACTCTTCAGCTGCTTCAGTTAGGCTCCTGCCTTGCCACTTCACAAAACTGCACGGGCCAAGGTCTCCAATCACCCTCACACAGGCAAAGTGAATGAGCACTTTGTAGGCCCCTTCCCACTTAACCCACTGGCAGCACAACTCATTTCCACATTTTTTTTGTATTTATTATTATTATTATTATTTTAAAATAATTTTTATTTATTTATGATAGTCACACAGAAAGAGAGAGAGAGAGAGAGGCAGAGACACAGGCAGAGGGAGAAGCAGGCTCCATGCACCGGGAGCCCGACGTGGGATTCGATCCCAGGTCTCCAGGATCGCGCCCTGGGCCAAAGGCAGGCGCTAAACCCCTGCGCCACCCAGGGATCCCTTATTATTATTTTTTAAATAAATTTATTTTTTATTGGTGTTCAATTTACCAACATACAGAATAACACCCAGTGCTCATCCCGTCAAGTGCCCCCCTCAGTGCCCGTCACCCATTCACCACCCCCCCCTGCCCTCCTCGCCTTCCACCACCCCTAGTTCATTTCCCAGAGTTAGGAGTCTTTATGTTCTGTCTCCCTTTCTGATATTTCCCACACATTTCTTCTCCCTTCCCTTATTTTCCCTTTCACTATTATTTATATTCCCCAAATGAATGAGACCATATAATGTTTGTCTTTCTCCGATTGACTTACTTCACTCAGCATAATACCCTCCTTTGAACTCAGCCACAGTAACTTCTTGCAAGATACATCCACGAAGGCAAAAGAAACAAAAGCAAAATTGAACTACTGGGACTTCATCAAGTTAAGAAGCTTTTGCACAGCAAAGGATACAGTCAACAAAACTCAAAGACAACCTACAGAATGGGAGAAGATATTTGCAAATGACGTATCAGATAAAGGGCTAGTTTCCAAGATCTATAAAGAACTTATTAAACTCAACAGCAAAGAAACAAACAATCCAATCGTGAAATGGGCAAAAGTCATTTCCACATTCTTGAGACGCCTCTTTGCCTTGGCTTCCCATCACACAGCCCTCCTTTCTTCGCCCTCCTCTTACCGTTCCTTTCCATTCTATGCTCGCTCTCGTTCCTCTTCATCTGCTGTACCCCCTGGGTTCTTACCTTGTCCCCCCCTCTTCTCTTCCTGGATGATCCCAGGTCTCCTGCCCTGACTACCCCACCCCCTGCCCCGCTGATTTCCAGAGTCATGTGACTCCTATATCTGACCCTTTCCTGAGCAGCCACATGTGTTTTCTATTGTGGTGAATGGCCTTAATATGCCCCTAGGCCATGCCACAGACCTAGCGGTCATCCCAGACTTCCAATGTTTAATTAGTAAGTGTCCCACCTTAAATATTTTAAATGTCTTTGTCTTTGGTTTTCTTTCCATTCCCACTTCCACTGCCTTAATCCAGACTCATCTCTCCTCCACAGACATTGCTAGATAGTCTTCTCATTGATCTGTCTCCAGCCTTACCATCCTCTAATCCAACTCCAGTTGGCCACCAAGGCAGTTTCCCACTGCTTAGAGACCCAAGTCCACAGTCTGTAAAACAGTGTAAAACCTTCCACAATCTGACCCCCACCTCAGCTGCTATTTTTGCTCTCACCTATATGTCATCAGTAGGAACAGCTGCTGTATGCCTGCACACACACCCCCTCTCCACTCAGACAAGGGTCTGCTTCCCTTGAAATCTTCCATGATCCCTGCAATCCAGCTGTCATCTGCACACACCTGTGTGTATAATGCTTTAGATGCTGAACAGCTGTGGTTTACTCACATCCTCATCTGACCTTGAATACAGGGAACATCTATAACCACAATGACGTTCTCATCTTCTGCCATTACTATTATGCATTACCTCTATAACTTTTAGGAACCTACTCTGTATCAGACACAGTATCAAGAACTTTAAGACTTTCTTATCCAATTGACGTTTATAACTATCCCACGAGTAGGCATTATGACCCAAATTAAGTTACTGGCAAAGTAGTTTCCTGCACCAGACACATGTCATTGGCCCAGACGCTTCTGCTGTATGTAGTCAGTGGTTCCTACATAGCAATCAGCCAATGAATGTTTGTTCAAAGTCAGCTACATTAATCAAGTCACTTAATGAGCTAGTTAGCAGATAAAAAAACATGTGTGTTATTACTGCTTGTATCAGTAAGAGTAAAAACAATATATTATGCTGTGTTTTATATATAGGTTCTCATCTAATTCTCACAACTCTCCTAGGAGATGGGTATCATTAGAATTCTCAGATGAGACACAGAAGTGAAAGAACTTGTTCAAAATCTCAAAACTAAAGACAATACTAATGGAAGACCAGCTGTACTACCTTCCCTAAGTTTCTCAGGAGCTTCTGAAACTAATTACATTATAGGCACTCAATAACCACTGTTATGTTAACCATCATAGCATTAGAAGCCTTCACCAGGCTAGGAGATGGACAATAAATCTCTGGACATGAAAGTCTAAAACTTCCCTATTAAAAGCTTTCAGCTTATTCAGCATATTAAAACCATTTAGATACCATAAAAAGCTAAAATAGGATGTAAAAACACAAAATAAATATTTAGAATGTAAGTGGAAGAAAAAATAAACTTTTCCACACATAGCCTACAACCAGTTCAAGCCAACTCCCCCAATGGTTTGTTAATGGTATACTGAAGACAGATTAATACCAGCACTAATGAAGCCCATAGCCCAAGAGCATGTGTTAATTAGAATAATAAAGTAAACCGGTGCTTCATCTGTGAATTCCTTTGGGGCGGAAGCTGGTAGAAACCATACAAACATCTCAAAGTTGTAAAAACACTGCTACGGTTTTGTATTTGTCACTGTTAAGGGTAGCGAAGTAAACCAACAAACCACAAACAACATAATAATTTTCTATCATCCACTTTAAGAAAACCGAATGTGTAAGTAGCCCACATAGAAGGAAGTAGAAAATAAGTAAAGTCAAGTTAGGAGCTAAGGGTGGAAAAATGGGCCAGGGGTGCCTGGGTGGCTCAGTGGTTGAGCATCTGCCTTCCGCTCAGGGCTGATCCTCACGTGGAGCCTGCTTCTCCCTCTGCCTATGTCTCTACCTCTCTCTGGGTCTCTCATGAATAAATAATTTTTTTAAAATGGGACAAATATTGAAAGTGGACAAAAGGATGTTATGAAAGAAGAGAACCTAAGGGGAAAGAAGAGTGTAGGTGGTTAATGGGGTGAATACGAAGAAAGAGGACAAATGAGGAACGGAGTTTGTGAAAGAGAAAAGGAATAAGAAAAAAAAAAAAAAGTTTGGCCTCAAAGAGAAGGGCAGACTAGGAAAATGCTCCAAGATGTAGAGCAGGGAAGCCAGAATATCACAGAAAGGGGGTGGGGGGTGTACCGGAAACATTCTATTTCTCGGTATTCTATCTACTTGAGAGAAGAGTTGGCAGCACTTTACACTATGAAGGAAGAGGAAAGGGGACAGAAACCCTAAAGAAAAACTATATTGATTCGGAGTTTCCTGGCAGCCAAGTCAAAGAGGAAAACCCAACAGTTTAGTGAAAGGAAGCAAATCAATTTATGTTTTTGAAGGAAAGCAAACAATATATTAGAAGTCAAGGGAAGCAAGTGGTAAGTGGTGGAAAGGGACCAGAAAAAAGGCCTTGTCCAAACCAAAAAACAAACAGACCAGGCAGTGGTGTACAAAAGTAAGAGGCTCAAGATGAGTGTAGGAAAGAAGCAGAAATGGGTGATGTTTAGAAGAGGTGCTGCAGAAAAGAAAATTTATAGTTAATGTGAAGGCAAAGCCACACCTCAGGCAATACAGGTGGGAAGTAAGAAACCTTCACCTGCGCAAACAGCCCCGCGGTGAGGGGCTGCAGGGGTGAGGCATCGCACACCCCGCGGAAGGAGTACCTTAGACTTGTTAGTCACTTGGTCTTTGAGTCAGCCTTCATCGGATTATCTCCGGAGTCATCACCACCCCCCACCACCACCCCCCCCAGGAGGGGGGAAGAAGGGGCCCGACGCGGGGGAGTACTTCGCAGTCGCGCAGAAGCACGGCTGTGGAAAGCCAAGAAGGACAAACGTTACATGGCCTCATTCATTTGGGGAATATAAAAAATAGTGAAAGGGAATAAAGGGGAAAGGAGAAAAAATGAGTGGGAAATATCAGAAAGGGAGACAGAACATGAAGAATGAAGACTCCTAACCCTGGGAAGCGAACTAGGGGTGGTGGAAGGGGAGGAGGGCGGGGGGTGGGGTGAATGGGTGACGGGCACTGGGGGGGCACTTGACGGGATGAGCACTGGGGGTTATGCTATATGTTGGCAAATCGAGCTCCAGTTAAAAAACAATACAAACAACAAAAAAAGCAAGCCAAGGCTCTGACTCCCCGTAGGAAGCGGTGGAAACTTTCAGAGGGACGCTCTGTAACTTGACCGCGAGGCGCCAGGTGCCAGGGACCAACGAGGGGACTACCGGCGGCGCGGCCGGCCCGAGGGCTGCGGCGGGCCGCACAGGGGCGGGCGCACGGGGCCGGGGCTAGGCACACCTCCAAATTCAGCATCTCGGACTCTGAGGACTCCTCGGACTCCGCCTCGCCCTCGCAGTCGTCCGCGTATTCCTCTCCGCCCGCGTCCGGCTCCCGAGAGCGGTGAATGAGCTGCTGGAGCAGGTGGGAGGAGGCTTTGTGGAAAGTACCTTCCGGCCTCTGCCCCAGGGGAAAGGAAGACCTGCAAGACTGACGCTCTTTTTCTGAGCGCAGCAGCGTGGACTGGCCTCCGGCTCGTGAGCCGCTCTGCAGAGAGCAAGGCTCCGGCCCCCGGGGATCGCTGCCGGCGGCCGCCATCTTGTTTGTCGCGGTTGCCTAGGAGACGCGCCCGGGAGGAGGCGCCGCCGCAAGGGCTTGTGGGCCGCAGCCCCGCCCCGCCCCGCCCGCCCGCCCCGCCCCGCCCCGCCCGCGGCCCGGTGGCTGCCGCGGGGCCGCTGGCTCCGGCGTCGGTCTCCCTTTCCGCCCCGACCCGTCGGGCTGCTGCCCCGCGCCCCGTTCTGGCTCGCTGGCTCGCTGGCTCGCTGGCTCGCTGGCTTTCCTCTCGCTTGCTTTTTTCCTTTTTCCTTTTCGCGTCCTGCCTTCGCGGGGCCCCGTTCCTCTGCCTCCGGCGGTTTCCTCCGCCCGCGGGCGGCTGTCGCAGCCGCGTCCCCCCGCCCGAGGCCGCCGCGAGCCCCGTCGCCTGCTGCCGTCGCGGGGCGCCGCGGGCTGCGCCGCGGGCTGGGGCGGGCGAGGCTTGCACGTCGCTGACGCCGACGCTTCCAACCGGGCGGGCCGCGCTGGAGCAGGCGGGTTGTGCCTAAGCGGACCCCAAGGGGAGCGGAAGGCGCGGCTCCTGGCCGCCTTACTTGAGTGTGGGGACTGAGGGCTCATCTGCAGTTAAGTCACATCTCCCGCCCTGGCCCTGAGATGATGAGCCGTGTCCTTGGGGAGGAAAACAGCCCGCGGTCTAACAATCCAAACCGAGAAAAAACGATCGTCGAGTTGGCACTGGACCCGAAAGCCTCCGAAAAGCTACTAGCGTCCCCTGAATACTTGTATCAGTCAAGTGACCTGCATTGGTAATCATTTTTACCTCGTTGCATAGGTTCTCTGTGCAGTTTCATGAAATACTCTTGCAAGATTGCAAAGCACGGTTTTATGCTGGTGTGATTTTATGTGACCCAAATCCCATAGCCCTGAGCTCCACAAAGTAGGCTATGGGAAAAGCAGAATGAAAATTATAGTGACTATCATTGCCATAGTGACGACAACAGAGATCCTTGCAGGGAAGTCGCCCTCATCCTCCTGGCCTTGCAGGGCCTTTTCTCCATGCTTCAGTGATAGCGGTTGCAAATACGAAATGATCCTGTCAATGGCTGTCAGGGGAGAAGAAGAAAGGACCCTCACGGACACCATCCATTGACTCTTATCTTTTTCAGTGCTTGAGGGACCGTTAAAACTGACATAAAGCTCTCAGCATTACCTTCCTTCATTATCTTGCTAGTCATAAATGTAAAGGCCGCAATGAAAATACCTCTTTTTGCTTGGCTCATCTTGCTACTTGCTTATGTCTTTTTCCAGGGGGTAGAGACTCCTCCAAGGGGTTTTTCCTCATCGTCACGCCCAAAGGATCTGGCTCTTGCTAACTGACATAGGGAAGAAGCGGGCACAAAGTATAAAAATGGAAACCCAGTGCGGTTTTGGTTTCTTAAAATAATCAGTGTTTCTAGCAAAGCACGGTTTGCCAATGTCAATCTGTTGAAGACCGTGTCTTAAGACAAAGTTAGGACCTGTCAGTAATTTTCAAAAAGTTAAAAGCATCATTCTCATACAAAAATGGAATAAAACAAAAATTAATGAAACATTAATCAACTCATTAATTAATGAGAGAACGAGTAAGATGTTAATGGGGTATTTATAGTCTAAAGAAAGGCATTGGGAAATAAGTTCACTCAGTTAAAGGAAAAAAACTGGTTAAAACCCTACAGGACATTAAATAAACTATAGCCTCTAGAGTTATGTATTTCTTTTTTATTTTAAGATTTATTTATTTATTAGAAAGAGCACATGCGGCAGAGGCGGAGGGAAAGGGAGACAAGAATACTGCCTGCTGAGAGTGGAGCCAGACACAGGCTCAGTCTCACCACCCTGAGACCATGGCCTGAGCCGAAATCCAGTCTGATGCTTAACCAACTGAGCCATCCAGATGCCACTGGAGCTATGTATTTCTAAATGCTTTCTTTTCACCTTCACATTTGCCCTTTGTCTAACCCCATTTGACAGATGAGGTCACTGAGGCCCAGAGAAGTTAAATAACTGGCCCAAATTCAAAGGGTGATGCTGAAATCCAAACCCAGAGTGACCAGTTCCACAGTCTGCCTTCAACTACTGTTTTTGCAGATGGAAAATGTGAGTCAAGATAAAGGTGTACACGAGGTCCCAGGAAAGAAAAACATGTATCAGTTCATATTAAGTATAAATAAGGGAATTCACTCAGAGAATGACCTTTTCATATTAGAATCATAGCATGTCAGAACTAGAAAGAACTTAAAAGCTTATCTTAGCGAATTTTCCCTTTTACAGGAGAAGAAACTGATGGTCCACCAGAGACAATCACTTGCCCCAGATCACCCAACTTGTTAGCGGCTGAGCAGGGATGAAGAGTTTCAGCCTCTCCTTGCTCAGTCTTTGCTCTTGCTACTTCACCAAAATATTATTTACCCTTACTCTTGACTTTTTGTGTGGAACAGGGGTCTCCCCCAATCTGGAGCCAGCATGCTAATGTAAAGACCATGGAAAGAAAATGGTTAAGCATCTCCCTTCAGCTCAGGTCATGATCTCCAGGTCTCTAGGATCCAGCCCTATATCTGGCTCCAGCTCAGTGGGGAGTCTGCTTCTCCCTTTGCCTCTTATCCTCTCCCTGCTTGTGCTTTGCTTCCCCAACCCCAATCTCAAATGCATAAATAGAAAATCTTAAACAAAAACAAAAAAAAAAGGCAGGGACCAACCCTGTATTTCTCATAATTGGGGAAAGTACCTTCCTAGGAGTGTAGGATTCTCTGGGCAAAGCAAGGAATGCGTGCCTCCATCCCCTTCATGTACCTATATCCCAATTGTGTGCAAGGAAAAATAGTGGGACAGTGCTTCTTAGGTATGTTGAAACGGCAGCACCTTGAATTTGTGGTATTTTTTATAGATATTCTTTTTTTCTTTTTTCTTTTTTTTTAATTTTTATTTATTTATGATAGTCACAGAGAGAGAGAGAGAGAGGCAGAGACACAGGCAGAGGGAGAAGCAGGCTCCATGCACCGGGAGCCCGACGTGGGATTCGATCCCGGGTCTCCAGGATCGCGCCCTGGGCCAAAGGCAGGCGCCAAACCGCTGCGCCACCCAGGGATCCCGAATTTGTGGTATTTTTTAATGGAATATTTAAATGTTTACAAAATATGAAATGGGAGAACAGATAGGCCATAGAAGGCACCATAATAACAATGAAAACATAACCACTACTAGTGTTTATGGGTACTTACTAATGTGCCAGGCACCCCTATAAGTGATTTACATATATCAATTAATTTCATCCCTCTAAGCACCCTACAAAATAGAGATTAAAATTATCCTCATGATGAGGTGAGTAATATAGGCATAGAGAGGTTATAACCCACTAAACGTACTTTGTCACACAGTGGCAAAGCTGAGACTCAAACAGAAAGAGCTTGGTTTCCCAGCCCACATCCTTGATCAAATCACTGTACTTCATGGGACGCCTGGCTGGCTCAGTGGGGAGAGCATGTGACTCTTGATCTCAGTGTTGGGAATTCAAGCCCCATGTTGGGTGTAGAGATTACTCAAATAAATAAATTTTAAAAAGAAAACAAAACACTGTACTTCCACTCAACTACTTTAGTAAAAGTTCATGAGGAGGGATGGTACGGACTGGACTGATTTTTTTATTCCCCTCCTCCCCTCAAATTCATATGTTGACATGTAATCCCCAGTGTGATGGTATAAGGAGGTGGGGCCTCTCAGAACTGATTAGATCCTAAGGCTGGAGTTCTCAGGAATGGGATTACAAGAAGCCAGAGAGCTAGCTCCCTCTTTCTGCCGAGTGAGGATACAGGGGAAGGGGAGAGTTTGCAAGCTGGCAGGTCTTCACCAGAACCTGAACCTGGCGCCATGATCTTGTACTTAGAGCCGCCTCCAGAACTAGGAGAAGTAAATTTCTCTTATCTGTAAATCACCTAGTTTACAGTACTCTGTTATAGCAGCCCAAACTAAGACAGTGGAGACCCTTAAAGTAGAGATAATTTAATGCATTAACATTGTACCTTTTTTGTTTTGTTAGCCCTTTCTATGAAGAAGAGATGATTCTTCATAAGGAAGTTCATTATCTAGTAACAGGCTAGTGGGACTATAGACCTTAAGCAAATAATTATAAAATTAAACATTTGGGGATCCCTGGGTGGCGCAGCGGTTTGGCGCCTGCCTTTGGCTCAGGGCGCGGTCCTGGAGACCCGGGATCGAATCCCATATCGGGCTCCCGGTGCATGGAGCCTGCTTCTCCCTCTGCCTGTGTCTCTGCCTCATTCTCTCTCTCTCTCTCTCTCTCTCTCTCTCTCTCTCTCTCTCTGTGACTATGATAAATAAATAAATTTAAAAAAATAAATTAAAAAAAAATAAAAAAATAAAAAAAAAATAAAATTAAACATTTAATTTCAATGGCCATAAAGGCTAAAGAGGGAAGATACAGGAGTCATGAGAACCTAACCTGGGGCCTTGACACAATATGGTGTGGAAGGATCCTTCACAATGTTAAGACAGACACTTTAAGCCTCACAATTAGGTTGGGGAAAAATAGTACAAAAATGAGGGACTTCATTTGTTATCTTTGCAGAAATGAACTACATCCAGATTACGGTGGTAGAAATTCACTGGGCTGGTAGGACCTGATAAAATCTAGGCAGGACTTGACTGAGTCAAATAATATGTGTTCCAAGTAGATATCAATGGGGTTTTGGGGGGTGTCCCCCAAATAGGTACTCCCTATCAAATACTGGTGTGGAGATCAAAAATCAAGACTACGGTCTAGGAGGAGGTGATCTCAAAAGCTCCCAGGCAGAGGCAGAAAAATCAAGCCAATGAAAAAATGTTTGAAAAGGAACTGCAAGCATCAGGTCATGAGTAAAATCTGAACAGAGGACCCAGGAAAGGATCATTTCTAGTTCTAATTCATATCTGAATTTCTAGTTCAGATAACCTTTGAAGACAGAACGGTGGATTTCATCAGGATGGTCACAACCACTTAAGATCAAAATGAG